GGGGGGGGGGGGGGGGGGGGGGGGGGGGGGGGGGGGGGGGCTCCTGCGGGGGCTGGCGCTCGCTTACGTTGCAGCTGTGGTTGATGAAGCGGGCAAAGTTGCCACACTTGGTGGCGTCGATGATGGTGTCGTGGTCCACCCGGAACATGTAGCTGCTGCCGATGCCCTCCTCCTCGTAGCGCTTCTCCCGCATGTCCGCGATCACCTGTGAGGGGACAGCGTCAGCCGGGTCAGCCGCGGAAACTCGCTGGCCTCTGGATCCACAAACGCCCAATTTCATCCCCAGCTCTCTGTAAAACCCCTTGGGGGTTTTCTTTGAAGGAAATTGGTAAGCCACTTCCCTTAGAGCGCTTAAATAAATCTACAGGGGGGGTGAGAGCAGGGAGCCCAGGCTGCCCGGGACCCTCGTGGTCAAACCCGTACAAGTTTCAACGCAAACGTGTCCTAAGCCACACGGACTGACCAGAAGATGTAGCCAAAGAAATAAACCCTGACACTGGGTCACACAAACTCCAGCTGGCTCTCATCCAGTTTTAGCCGGCCTTGACCAGAACATGTAGAAAACTTCAAAAGTCGGTGGATTTAAGGCAGGGGTGTCAAACTCCAGTCCTCGAGGGCCGCTGTCCTGCAGCTTTTAGAGGTAACCCTTTTTCAACACACCTGATTCACATCAAAGGGCAATTAGACAGGTGCAAAGCCCAACAATGTCCAATTTAAAAAGAATCAGGTGTGCAGAAGCAGGAACATGTCTAAAACCTGCAGGACAGCGGCCCTCGAGGACTGGAGTTCTGACACCCCTGATCTGAGGCATCAACAACAACAACTCCTCCTCCTGGGGGAGCTGCTTCCCCCTAATAATAACACTGAGCCTTCCTCTTACAGGATTAACGCGTTGTCTTCTACACATGAACAGCAGACATGTAGGAGCATCTCCTAAGCAGGCTCAGAGAGCTAAGACCAGATGCTTGAGACCCCTCCCACCCCCCACCCCCCCGGCGCGGGCTCACCTGTCTGATGTTCTGTCCCACGTACTCGATGACCATTTCATCTGCGGCTATCGGCTCCTGGGCGAACAGGCCCCACTCGTGGATGTGCGATTTGCAGAACCTGATCTTCTTCTTGCGGAACTGAAGGAGATGGAGGCGTGGCGTTAAGCTCTTTCCCGTCGCCATCAGATTGTTTTGTGGTCGTTTGCTTACCTTCAGCTGGTTGAACTTCAGCAGGTCGCTGTCGCAGGCGAAGGAGGACAGCAGGCGCCGCTGCTCCGAGCGCCGCTCCGATCCCGCCCGGGTGGAGGCGTGCACCTGCGCCGGGATGCTCATACCCTGCAGAGTCAGAGCACAGGTCAGCAGGGGTCAGCACAGGTCAGCACGGGTCAGCGCGCTGAGCGGGGCCCACGCGGGCGGCGCGGCCGGTTGGACCCACCTGAGTGTCCATGGGCGGCTCCTCGTACTGCAGCCGCGTGCTCTGCAGGTACTTGATCTTGTCCTTCTTGTCGATTTTGTAGTATCCTTCGCTCCGTGCGCAGCCGGTCATGTGATCCCTCATGCCGTCGTCTCTCCTCTTCTTCTTGACTCCGGGGATGTGGGTAGGTGCGGAAGGGGGTCAAGGAAGAAGTGCAAAACATCTGCCGCTCAAAACTGAATTCTCTAACCAAACAAATAAATAAATAAACCGCCCTCTTTTTTACCACCAGAGGGCGCTTTTCTGTGGCAGGTGTTTTTTAACAAAGTTAAGGTTAAAATGGACCTGTCGCAGCACTTTTAGAACTTCCTTTGACAGAAAAAAAGACATAAAGGCTCAGTAGTGGACGCTGAGCATCAAAGGATATGAGGATGGTTGACCCAGAGTGTGTCGTTGAGCCAGTCGTTGCCGTTGTCCTGCTGGAGCATCTTGTCGTAGGTGATCTGCAGGAGCCGGATGTCCTCCTCGTCGATGCCCTCGTTCCAGATGTCGTACAGGATGGTCATCTCCTCGAAGTCGGAGCGGGGGGAGAAGTAGGCCTGGGGCGAGGTGGCGACGGGGGACAGGCTGCCCAGCAGCATCTCCTCCCAGCCGCGCCGTGTCCGCCGGGCCGGCTTCATGGCCGCCGCCGGCTCCTTTTTGTAGGACGGGAAGCTGCGGTCGGGCGGCAGCACGGTCTGAGGCTCCGCCTCTGCTTCCCGGAAGTCCAGGCCGGGGTGTTGGGGAGACTTGGCGGCCGGCGTCTGCGTGGACAGGTCTCCCGGGTGCGCTTCGTGAGGAGGAGGCGCCGACTCAGAGGAGAGCTCTGAGGACTCGTCGGTGGCAGAGACAGCCAGCGTCTTTTTGCCTTTGGGCCGCCCGGCCTTTTTCTTTGAAGGAGTGCTGTCTGACGGCACGGGGATATCTATAGAGAGACCAGCGGGCAGATCTTCAGCGAGGCTGGCTGGGAGCTCAGCGCTGGCTGACAGGGTCTGGTTAGGCGGGGCGTGGATGGGGGGCTCCTTAAAAACTGGTCTGTCATCCAAACTCTCAGAGGAGATTTTCCTATTAAATGTCAGTGCTGTGGGGTCAGGGAAGACAGGGGTGAATGTTAAGTCTCTCCCCGGAGTCCGAGGGACTCCAGCGCTAAGCACGGGGGACTGTGCGGGATAGGAGAAGGGACTGCCGGGGATGTGGGGGGAGCTAAGCAGCAGACTACTACCTGTCAGGGGGGCATCACTACCGGGGGTGATGGGCATGGTGTCGGTGCTCTGGGATTTGAGACTCCGGGCGCGCTCCAGCAGGTCCCTGCCCGGCGTGCGCGGGATATCCTCGTCCGTGGGGAGCCGGGGCCGCTGAGGGAAGTCGGGGAGGGGACCTGGGGGTGGGTGGAGGAGGGAGCGACCTTCTACTGTGGGGTGAGGAGGGAGAGGGAGGTGCATTAAAGAGGTTTTGGGGGCCGACGCGTTCGGATCTGAGAGGGACGGAGCGAGTCGACCAGGGGTGCAGGGCGCTTCCTCGGGTTCCGCTTTACCTTTGGCTTTGGCCTCCTGGTCACTGTCTGGCAGGGAGCCAGTGGGAGTGGGCGGGCGGAGGCTTGCTACAGGCTCCAGAGGTTCAGACTTCACAGCAGTGACCTTACCGTCCACGCGGATGTCTCGCTCTATGACTGAAAGACAAGAGACAGCGTTTGTTTAATGTGGCCCCTGCCTGGGACTGTCCTCATGTAGAACTAGGTGGGGGCACTCACCTGGGGCACCTCTGGGCGACGGAGGCTTGGGGTCTTCTGTGGGCTCCTCCTTTGGACTGGGGGGTCTTCGTTTGGGCTTGCCGCTTGGCTCCGCTCTCTCCCCGACCTCCTCCTTAAGCTCCCTGACCGGTCCTGTGGGAGGACTCGATGGCTTGGTGTCCGCGCGGTCGACCTCCTCTTCGGACGACGAGGACGAGGAAGAAGAAGAGGAGGAGGAGGAGGTGTCGGCCTTCTTGCCACCCTTTACACCTCCCACCGACTCCCGGTCGTCGTCCTCGTCTTCTGAGCTTAGCTCGTATTCGGAGAAATCCGAATCCGAGCTCTCGGGCGACGAGTCGGAGCTCCCTGCTGAGGACTCTGAGCTGGCCTTGGAGGAAGCTGAACTTTCAGCCTCTGCCGAGAAAAAAAAAAAAGGAAAAAAAAGGATTAACGACGGGAAACACAAAAGGAAGCAGCCGGATGCCTCTGTCAGACGTATCAAGTACCGTCGTCCGATGAATCGGAGGACGCACTGCCGCTGGACGTGTCTCCCTCATCTTCATCATCCCCGTCCTCGTCGCCGCTCGCCTGTAAAGGTGATCAGACAGATGGTGAAGTTTGAAAAGAGAAACATCTGGACACAGCAGCGGCCGGATTGACCCGACGGGATTACCTTGCCGGCCGACAGCCTCTCGGTCGCCTTCGCTTCTTCGGCCTCCTCTTCCTCCCTGTCGGACAACGACGACTCCTCCTTCCCCGAGGTGTCCGCCTCCTCCTCCCCCTCACTGTCCAGCTCAAGTGGCCGAGCGTGCCGTCGCTTTGACGACAGGCCGTCGGCATCCATTTTGGAATCATCCGAGGGGAGCTCAGTTGGGTCTCGGTCCCGATCTGACGGAATTACGCCCCCAAAGGAAACAGAGGAGAACCGTTTTAGAGGGAGGGACTTATGGGGGAATACTAAAGTCAGGATCTCAGCAGAGGGTTACCTTCATCCTCCAGCTCATCGTCCACCGGGGTGGAAGGCCTGGCCCGTTTGTTGTCGCCTGTCACTGCGGACTCAGGCGGGTCTTTCCTTTTCACCTGAGCACAACATCCAGCTGTTCAGCAGCCACCCGGGACAGACCCCCCCCTCATCCCCCCCCCACCCCCCCCCACCCCCTGCAGTCTTCAAGTCTTACCTTGAAGGAGGGTAAGCGGATGGCTCCGCGCAAACCGATTCCGAGACCCATTCCCTCGTAGCCAAGCCCTTCAACCTTGTTCCAGTTCTCCAGCAAACTGGAGCCGATCATCTCTTTGGGTTTGGGTCTTTCTTCTTCTTTGCCCTCAGCACCCTTCACTGGAGTCAGTGACACCTGGCAGACAGGACGCAGAAAACATTGATTTTCTACTAGTTCAATTCCAACATGAATATCTTTTTTTTTCTTTGATAACTTCCAGAAAATGCTGAAAAACTTCCATGCCATCGGATGTTTGGCGTCACCGAACAAAACCAAAATAAAACAAACATCTATCCCTTAGTGTTGATAGATGACCGGCAGGTCATTGATTAAAGAAATCATACAAGACCACATTTTGCATTAATAGGAACGGTGAGACGAGCGTCCCAGCCGATGATTCCACTGCTGCGCCGCTCACTATGACAGGCGCCGCACTATTAATCAAAACCCTCGGCTCCGCATGCAAGTTGGACCACAGACAGGCAAATCAGCTCCAACAACCCCGACAGGTCATCAGCTAAGAGCCTGAGGTTACCCGCTCCTGATGAGCACCACCGATGGGCGGCCTCACGCAAACACACACACAAACAAAAACGCCTCAATGCGCTACATATTCACTCTGAACATTTCTTCCTTCATCTGCTTCTCACACCACATTCGTAGAAAGAGTTACTGACCTTTGCGGAATGTTCTTTCTTCTCCCACCACTCATCGAAAGCCCTGAAAGCCACCACCTCCACCATTTTGCGGTTGAGGTCCCTCTTCATGATGGCCTTCAGCTCTTTGACGATGACCAGCAGCACACCATCAACAGTGGCCTTATGGGGATCCTCTTTCTTAGAGTCATACCCGGGGGGGGGGACGGTGGGGTTGAACTTTGGTACGCTGGGATTCTGCCACTGCTGTCCAGACGCTCCCGTACTGTTGGTGGGCGTGGCGCCCAGAGAAAGAGGGGCGTACGCCCCCCCGTAGGCGCCGCCGTCCATGAAATGGTAGGGGTAGGGCCCCCGGGTCTGGGCCATGCGACTCAGCATCTGCTGCTGCATCTGGAAGGACATGGGGACGGTGCTCCACTGCTCCCACCGCAAGCAGTTCATCAGCTCCATCTGCATCAGCGACATCATGCCCGGTGGGTAGTGGCCCATGGGGGCCAGCATATGGGGGTGCACCCCTGGGTGAGCGGCCATGTGGGCCGGGTGCCCCGGCACGGCAGAGTGAGGGGCCAGGTGGTGATGTGCGATGGGGAAGCCGGCCTGGTGCTGCAGGGGGTGGTACCCGGGCGCGTGGATGGCCATGCTGTGCATCGGGGACAAGGCCGAGTTGACCACGATGCCCTTGCCGCAGTCTCCGCTGGTTATAGAAGCTCCGGGCATCTCGTCCTCGGACATTTCCATGTCTTCTCCCGAAGACTGAGGAGCCTGAGCCAAAAAAAAAGCACAACCTGTCACGATCAGGGCACAATCTCTGGAATCATGGGTCGTTCTGATATTCGCACCATGTGAGCAAATGTAATTCTGTTATGAGGACTTCAATAGAAAAGGTCACAACCTCAAACAATAATATGAATCTTTTTTTAATTTGTGTGACACTGAATTCCAGCGTTACTAATAACCATCATTAGTTATTCTAATGTTCTGGGTCTCGTTCCTTTCTAGGGATGAGCTCGTTCCAGCCGGTGCTGAGGCACCGACAGCCGTCAGCGGGATAAACAGACCCCAGATCTGATCCCAGTTCAAAGTTTTGTGTTAACACAGCCAAACACAAGCGTGCTGCCTCTTTGCTCAGACTGTTTCCAAACAGAGCCGTTTGTTCAGCCGTCTCAACTGCATGAGCAACATTGTGACATCGAAGCAAGACTTCTGTTACAGAAATATGACTAAATGATCTCTGTCATCTGCTGTAGAAGCGAAACAGAGTCAACTCAGCACGGGAGCGGCGTCCTCACCCAAGTGACCTGTTTGCACTGTTTGCTTTGTGATAACTGAGAGCTCAGAGAGGCAGTCCTGCCCGTTGGGCTCAGCCAAAACCAGGAAGTGTGTTTCTGAATGAGCCAAGCTTGGTTTTCCTCCATGTGAGGCATGTGTGCAGCGAGTGCTGGAAGCAGAAACGGTATGCTTGGACTCCCCCAACAAAAGAATTCTTATTGTTTCTCCTTTTAAAGCACGAAGGAAGCTGCAGAAATACGAGATCGCCACCTGGTAGCGTTCTCACAGACTATGAGCTTCTCATGAAAGTGAAGGCATTATTAATGAGTCCAGGTTAGCTCGTTCATAACTTATTTGAATTCTTCCCGGAATTTTTAAAATTATTTATAAAAAAGCGTATCAAGACAAATCAGACAAATACATTCTCGTGTGGCTCCTTGTTAACAGTTTGCTGTCACTTGAGTGAAAGATGAGCGACTTCAACTACACTTTTTGGCACGAGATACAACTTGCGGCGAAACCAGTTTCCTTTAGCAAGGAAGAAAGAGAAAAAGCGATGAAACCCGAGGTTTACTACATCCATCTCACACTGAAACTATACCTGACTTCCTGTGTCCCCTATGTAACTGTCAGCTGCAGACAGACCTCGCTTCCCCGCTACTATAAACCAGTCGGGACTTTCAAAGCGCAGCTGCTGCTGGCAGCCTGCTCTGCCTGGGCGCGCTTAAACGGGGCTGAGCCTTACCGTCTCAGGGGGCGTCTGGCCTCCAAACGCTCCGTCTTTGAGGTCACTGTTGCTGGTCTTCTCGGGGGCCGGGGAGCCGGCTCTCTTGAGCAGCGAGGCCGTTCCGGGGACCGGCTCCTCGTCGTCGGAGTCGGGCAGCGGCGTCGGGCTGATGTCCTCCAGGCCGGTGCTCCCGGGCCGCGAGTTCAGCTGCCCCCCCTGAGAGCCGCCGGTGTAGGGCGGGATGGGGGACAGCTGAGAGGACGAGGAGGAGATGGGGCTCCCCTCCATTCGCACCTCGTTGTCCGAGTCCCGCTCCTCCAGGAAGGGCAGCAGCTTTGTCCTTTTTTCCTTGAGGAGCATTTCGATGCGCGAGTCCAGGCTGTTGCGCTCGGGGTCCAGCGCCGGCGAGCCGGGGGAGGGGCAGCCCTCCGGCGTCTGGGGCGGCGGGGTGCTCGGGTGGGGAAGGGGTTCCGGCGGAGGCTCCGGGATCGGGGGGGTTTCGGGGCGCTCGGGCAAAAAGTCGGTGGCGGCGGCCGGCGGGGGCTGCGGCGGCCGGAGGTACTCGCCCTCCCGTTGGGCCGGGTGATGGAACGCCGGCTCCGACGGGGGGAACGGCGGCTGGTAGGGGGAGAAGGCCGACTTGAAGTTGGGCGTGGCGGGCGGAGGGGCGGTGTAGTTGAAGGAGGGCGTGGAGGGCGGGGGCTCGGGCGGGGTGAGCTGGTGCTGCTTGAAGGGGGCCTGCTCAGACGGCGTGCCGCGGTACATCTTGCTGCGGTACTGGGGGCGCTCCGGCCGGCGGTTGTACGCGTCCTGGAACTTGCTCTCGTGTCGGCGGGACTTGTAGCCCCCGGAGCTCTCGGGACGGCTGGACTGATAGGCGGGGGTGGACTGCCGGCTGGAGAAGTTGGAGTCCTGGGAGAAGGGCGTGCCGGGCTGGCGCGGCGTGTGCGGGGTGCCCTGGGACTGCGGCGTGTCCTGCCTCAGGCTGGAGTAGCCCGTCTCCAGGCTCAGCGGGGTGGTGGAGGTGCTGGGCGGCAGCGCTCCACCCACAGCCGACAGGCTGCTCTCCGACAACCTGCGGATGGGCTCGCAGGCCTTAGGGGGGGCAAACGGGACAGAGGATCAGCCGAGAAAAAATTTAAGAATGAGTTCTGTCTTTTAACATAGAGGCTACAATAAGATCTAAAACAGATTTCCTCCGTTGGTTAAAGCAGCCTTTAAATAAAAACAACAACAGGTGGATAAGAATATTAAGGCAGAGAAAAATCTTACAAAACAAGGTTTCAATGATTCACAGTTCAGACCAGAGTCAAGGGTCTGGGTAGCCTCAGCCCAGCACAGCCTCTCACTGATAGGATGGCTTACAGATAAGGCTCATCATAAATGGACAAACTACCTTATTTCTGCACAGTAACACCGCCAAAAGAAAGACTTAAAATGAGGAAGAATCTTTTTAAGAAGATTCTATCTGTTGTTAGAAGTTGCTACTTTTTTTTTCTTTTATTTTCTTACCAGCAATGCTTCCGCCAGGCTCCGAGGGGAAACTTCCCTGGACTCCTCTCCACCGACCGGCAGCGTCCGTGGAGTGTAGCTGCCATTCATCAAGAGCTGGAAGTACCGCAGGCGATTCTCACCTACAGAGCAGTGAACACAAGTGGGTCTGGTGCCAGCTTTAGATAGCAAGGTTAATGCTGCAGATCTGTGGCAAGAGATCTGGAATTCATCCACTAATTAGTGTTTGTTCAGTGATATCTCAACCCCGAGAGAAGCATTGGGAAAAAAACAAAACAAGCATAATGTTTTACATCTGCCACAAAATAAAAAGTGAACAGAACAGAACTGTGCAAAGACTTTGTTTGATTGAAATCTTTCTCAAATCTGTCATAAAAGCACGATAGTTTTTGTGAACCGACCAAGAACCGTACCTACGGGTAACGCTTTAGGGACGCCGGTTCCCTTTACTCAAACGGAATCAGCACAGATGCAAATCCCAGCTAGTTACTTTGTTAAACACTTTGCATCATCTTTAACAGTGGCAAAAAATGCTGCTTTACTTTAATCAATATAAAGCAGGGACTGGGGATCTAAACGGGCTGTAAGGTGTAGTCTTTTTTTGTTTTTTTAAAGTGCCTTACAAAAGCAAACTGAGGTGCAGATGACAGATTGGTCTGTGTTTGTTTGCAGGTCTGAAATTATGCACAGTGGGAGTACACAGCACCCTCTGCTCTGGGCTGGTGGGAGCACACTCATTTTCAATGAAATTCAATTATCCCACGTTACCAGGCAACGCATGTAAATGTTAGCACGTGATAGGTGTCATTTCAATCCCTCAAAACTAAGAAACCATATCCCTCTTTAATATTACTGCCACCTTGCATCTGAATAGCGATGGGCTCTGTGGGAAGGCGGCTCTCTCTGAATGAATGAATCAGTGTTTACCTTTGGGATCCAGCTCCACGTGGATGATGTTTCCCATCACAGACGTGTTGTGGAGCGACTGAACGGCCACTTTGGCGGACTTCACAGTTTCGAACACAACTTTGGCTATTCCCAGGTGCTTCTTGTTCTTCGGATTGTACAGGATCTCCACCTCCTCGATATCTCCGAACTTTTTGCACATGTCGGTGAGAAATCCCTCCCTGATGTTGTCGTTCAGCCTGGCGAACGTCACCTCCTTGGGGGGCACCGGCCCGATGTAACACTTGTCGATCTGAGAGAGGGGACGACAGGAGGCAGAGTTAGGGGCCGCCGGGTTAATGTTGCACCGCCCGGGGGGGACTTCTGACAGCTGAGATAAGGCCGGCTGTGCCAGACCAGCGCTGGATGAAGGCGGCGAGGTTAGAGAGTCCAGAAAAAGGCGAGCGTGCACGTGAGCAGGGGGGCTAAACTCTCCTCCGACGGGCACCGATTCACTCCTAGTCCCGAACCCGTAAAGAGGGGGGTGTGTCTGCAACTTCTGACAGCACCTCTCTTCCACAAGGAAAAACAAAAAGAGAAACGCTCCTCCTGCCAGGGGGGGATACCTTAAACTTGGGCACGGGCAGGTCCGTCTCCTTGTATTTAGTCCAGAGGCGACCGATCCTCGGGTCCCGGACGATGTCCACCGGTGGCATCCCCTGGTTCTGTTTGATCAAACACAGAGAGAGGGGGGGGGGACACACGCCACCCCGTTATCCATCCGATCCTCAGCTCCACGCGCCGCTAACTTGTTGCAAAGTGGTCACGCAAAAAAAAGACAAACAAAAAAAAACAAAAGAAAACCAAATGCAAGCGGAGGCATCGCTCGGCCGAAACGAGGAGCTACGGCCCGGGGATGCTGACCGTGGCCGGCCACTCGGCCCCCCTACATTGTAACATATCATGGAGGTCGGCTACTCGGTTACTATTGTGGCCGCGTCACTCACCGGCGTGCTGAAGGTCTGGCCGTCGTAGCGGTAGAGCTTGTGGGAGCCCATCTTCAGCGCCGGGTCGATGATCAACTTGTAACTTCTCCAGTGGTGGCTCCGCTTCTCCGCCGAGCCGCAGACGGGATGGCTGTCCATGCCGTTGGCCAGACCTGAGGCGGGCGGCGGGGAGAGAGGGGAAGAGAGAGGGGCAGAGAGGAGCTAGCGTTATCGGGAGCCAGCGCCGCCGACACGGAGCCCTCACCAGCCCCCAACGCTCCACCGCTGCCCGGCAGCCCCACGCCGCGGATGCGTGGCTGTGGCGGCGGAGGGGGACCCCTGTGGGAGCGAACATGGGATCTAGCGTAGATCCCACTCGCGGAAAACAGGCATTCGGAGGTGCTGGAGAAAGAAGGGGGGAAAAAAGAACCAGCTTACTTGAACTCTGCTTTCTGCCATGGTCTTCGTTAAGTCTGTTCCTCTCCCCCGGCTTGGACATGGTTCGTCCGATCGAGTGCTTCTTTTTTTAATTGACGAAAAGACGAATTCGCTCTCCTTTCGCCGCTTACATTACATGATTTAGCTTGAAGAATACTGCCTCCTTTTCGGCGAGAGCCAGCACATATTGTGTGCCTCTGGTCTCTAGCTACTGTCTCTCCCACAATACACCGCTAGGCTTGCCCACCCCCTCTGCTCGTCGCACTTTCGCTACAAACTTGCCTGCATTCGCAACGATTATTAATGGAAACGGCCGCGTTTTGGTGAATGGGCGTGTTTTGAATAGCTCCACTGGCAACAGTTTAATTAATAAAGACGGTTCTCGTCAAAGTGGTGACGGGTACAGTGTCTTGAAGCCTCGTAATCGTTTCGTGTGGAATCTACCAGATGCATTTACCTAACTGGCCAACACCAGATAGACAGCAGGGGTAATATCTTCTTAACTGCCACTAAAGGCTAATAAAGCTGATTTATCGCCAGCGACGCTCGGGCATGCGGCCACTTATAAACGAATACACGACGGGACTTTAAATTTTAAACAGACAATACGACGTTTACGCCGACGCTGCAGCTAATAGCTGACAGCTAATGTGAAATTAGGAACTGGGGGGGAAATGGATTGCAATGCGAAATAGTTGCGCTCAGCCCTCAAATGTGACCGTTTCGCTGGGATTTGAAACTGCTGGAATGTGGCGGTTGGTTTCGTTTCATCTTTTTTTTTCTCTCTCAGAACTCATCTACACCAGAAAAAATAGTGCCAAAACCGCCGTGAAGGTCCTCGTTTTTAAGGGGTAACAAAACCAGAGGAGCGTGCGGAGGATACGGCATTAAACCGTGGGGATTTTTTTTGTTTTTAAATCAATTTTTTCGTTTTGAATTGTTTCGGCAAAGTGCTTGTTGTCGAGCACCAAACTGGGTTTTGTTTGACATTGCCTGTTGTTTTGCAGTGCTTGGGCAATTGGCTGGTTAACAGCGGTGGCGCGGCGGGCCAATCAGAGCGCGGCAGCTCCGGAGCTGTCTGCTATTAGAGGCACGGCTCAGAAGTCCTTCAACAGAGAGCAGAGAGAGGGGGCTGAGCGCTCTCGGCAGCCATTTTCCTTAAACAGGACTCAATGGCCTATATGGGTTTCCTTTGTTCCATAAGGGATCTTACACTTGATTTCCTCATCTCTCACGGACTATTGATAAAACTATGATTGCTCCTTTTAAAGGGATGGAGAAGATGGAAGAGAATGTGCTGGATGTAATACCCTGTGACATTTTGAACCTTTTTTCCTCTGCCTGGAAACCATCTTTGTCTTAACTAGGTCATGGCACACCCAAATAATAGTGTTTGTATTTCTTAAATGAAAAGAAACCAAATGTTGTGAATAAACAGCTGTATGGTTTTGGATATGTTAAATGATAGAAAACCACAGTTTAAGTGACAACATGATGGCATTGCACTTATGGCCTTGTAGGAAATGAGTTGCAATGAGTAAGTTCAATTCTTTTATAATCATTTAACAGTTTTTACAGCTTAGTAATTTCAAATGTGAGGCATGCAGTAATTGTTATTTATAGTACTTGTTGTCATTTTGTTCTATTTAACGTATAACAAAGAAATTCTGTAATAGCCATTTGCTCAGACTGTTCACTGCATGCTGACATAAATATACAGAGTTTATACCACTGCTCCAAAGCAGGCCACAAACAACCTTTTCACTATAGTTTGTGTTTTTTTACTGTTGATTTATCACCCTTTTATTTTGATTAATGACTTAACACTTTTCTCTCACAACAGCAAGATGGCAAGTCTTGCACCTTCTCGTGCGACTGTGGAGAAAACCTTAGGCACGGTTAGGTTGTGCTGTCGTCCACACCACATTTAGGAGGCAAACGCGTCCAAAGTGTGAGCCTCAGGTTGACCTTGCCTGAAGGGGACATTTGAATATCTAATGAAGCCTTTTCTGGCAGTCTTTAAATTTTTTTCAATTTTTTTTTTTTTTTTCAAAAAAGCTCCTTCTACTATTTAAAACAAACAGCCGAATGTAAGAGGGAAGAGGTGGAGTGAAAACTTTCATGGTGAGAATATTTACCTCGGTACATTGGTGAAACGCAGTTAACAGGCCTAAACGCAGGGACGGGAGGACTGTTTTCAGCTCCATCTTCGGATCTTCTAATAGTGGCATTAATGGGGGGTATGAAAACGTCCTCTGAAAAGGAAGGAATCCGTTAGCTCGACAGATAGACCTCTTTTGAAAACTTTATGTTCACTGATAGCATACCCTCTCAGCCAACGAATATGCATCTTCAAGCATCATCTGTGTGGGCATTATGCAAACCATCTTTTCTCTCTTCTTGAGGACAGGATTGCAGTCGAGTGTAACCGTCCATTTCGACATTTCTATCAGAGCAACATCTCATAAATCTACAAGGATTTTTTTAAAGGTAACGGAATTTGAGCTATTTCATATCATTTTCCTGTTTATATATTAAAATATATTTTTTAGAGGACAGACATGAATACTTATGACCAATACGATTTCAGTCGAACCAAGCTGACTTTAGTCGTTTTTTATCTACAGTCCATGTGATTGATATATCAAACTTACAGTTAGTATTCAAAACACGTATTCCAGGTCATAAAAGAGAAAATTGACTGTTATTGGGATACATCTTGTGTTTTTCACTGCTTCCCTTTATCCAAAGAGACCTTTTGGTGGTAAGTAGCAATAGTTGTTCAGTGGTTTCTCTGCTGCTCTCTGTCTCAAAATGGCTTCTTTACAGACAAAGGGAGCACTGTGCTGTAAAATGTTACTGCGCCATAACTGGGTGAGGCTCAGGAGTGAGCCTTTCATCCGAGGACGTTGTTCGGCGTTTCAGCTAGCTTTAAAAGGAAGTCAATACAACGGCCGTGTGGTGGGGGGTGGGGCAGTGAATTCAGTGGACATGGTTCGTGTTTGACAGAGAAAAGAGGAAAAATTGCTCAACGACGCTACGTTTGAGGAAGGACATTTTAATAAAAGCTCCGTGTTCCAGTCGGACGGTTGCTGTGCTGACTCGCCTGGCAACGGCGGTAATCCGAGAGCTCTGGATGGTTGCCATGAGAGCGCGAGCGCGGTGCTGCTCCCCCACACTGCCATATAAGGTCAACAGGAATCCTCCGCAGCGGAGAAGTCGTGTCGTATCTGGGTGAAGGGTGCTTCGGTCTCCTGCGCCTGCTCTCTGCTCGGAGACACAAACCAGCCGGCACGAAATGTATCTAGCGCCGGTGGAAACAAATAAGCTGCGATTTTGCCTTTTTCTTTTTTTTCTTTTACCATTCTCCCCCTCCCCTGTGAAGGAGTTAAAAAAATATAGGTGGGAGGGTCTTTATTTTCCTGCGTTGGGGGAGGAGGTAGGGGGGGTTCAAGACGTATCTCTCATGTTGATGGTGCCTGCCACGCACTCCTGCTTGCCTGCAGTGAATAGGAAGCACTAAATCGCAGTCTGCGTCGGAGGCCTGTTTTTCCTCGGTCTCAGTTCCTTGCCCCGAGCAGCCATCGAGCGCGCGCAGCTAGGTCACGAGGCTGCTGACACCCTTCTCTCAAGGTTGGCCGCCTGTCCCCCCAGCCCCCAGTGCAGTGGGGAGGTGGGAGAGGGGACATTTATTTGAAGAATGGTTTTGTGTGTTGGATGAAGTGGAAATGTAACTTTAGAGTTTACGAGATTGCATTGAAATCCAGCAGCCAGGTTATTTATAGCAGGCCTTTGTTGGGAGGGGGAGGGGGGCAGAAATACCCGGTGGGTGCGCCGCTCAGCTTTACCGCTGACAAACTGGAATATTTGACACAGGGGATTGGCCTCTCTTCCACAGGACAGCTGCCTCTCTGCACGCCGAGAAAAATCCCAACAATTGTTCTTTGTTCATGAGGGGCTGGCTGTGTGCGTGTGGATCTACTGTAGGACAGATCTCAAATCCTTTACAGGCTGCTTTTTATTCATATGTGAGGCTTCCCGTGTTATGCTGTAAGTCAACCAAGCACTTTTTTTCTTATCTGTGCTAGTGTACATAGATTGGTTTTCTCCATAGACTGTGCTGTTTGCCATAGCGTGTCTGACTGTGGACATGAAGCCTGTGGGAGCAGGGAATGGCTCAATGGAACCAGAGGCAGACAGGCACATAGACACACGGCTCTCCTTTGTCCTCCCCAGCTGTTTATTCTGGAGGACTGCTCACTGAATCATTTCAGGTACCCATGGAGCTTTGTGTCTTTTTTAGAATTAATGAGCATACTCGATTTTTCCAGTTCTTCTTCTCTTTTCAGATTGGTATTGTATCACAATTCAGTGCCATCTCCTCTCAGTAGCTTCTAAATATTTGCACGTGCCTCTAATGTAATATTCCAAAGTGTGTTTTACTTGCTGGCTATTCTGACCAGTCTCTCTGTTTGTGATATCTTTTAATAAAAAAAAAAGAAAGAATATTAGCAAATTGTCATGGTTTATTTTTACACTTGTTTTCCTCTTTCTTTGTGGAAGCTGAAGTATGCTCCTTTTCTTGCGAAAGGTTTCAGGCCCAGATGAAAAGCAGGGATTTGTTATAAAACCCCCAGTAGTCCAGTGAGCGTCGGCTCACATATCGCGGGCTGACATTCCTGGAACAGCAGTTTGGCTGTGACTCTAAAAATGCAAACATCTGAGCACTGTAAAGGCTTCCCTTTCCCTAACTGTCCCTCAGATTCGATTTTGTTGGCTGGCAGCTGAAGTGGCTCGGACCAAACGCAGCCTTTAAGTGTATCCTGGTGGTACACGCCTCTGATCTTCCCTCTCCTGATACAATAACCAGTCTCACTGCAATATCCTTCAGATACACGTCCAGAGTCTTTTGTTTGCTCTAATCTTGAATCTTTTACTTCACCGGCAGTGTTGATGAAATATTCTCCTTCACCCGTGCAGGGACCGACTTTCTAAGCCTGCTGAGCCTGTTTTTCCTGATCACTGACACCACATTGACTTAGAACATTCAAGCCTGATTCAGAAAACTAATCTAGCTGAAACAATGAATAATCGCTCCCGATGCCTCGCGTGTCCTTGTGAGCCTCCTGAACTCTCCTTTCCAGCCCTGCTTATTTATGTGCTGGTTTGATTAGCCTGTCGCCTCCACATGAGAACATGTCCTTATTCCACTGAGGGAGGGAGGAGAAAATAGATTGTCCTGGCAGAGGACGAGTGATGTCGCTGCAGCGAGAGGCTGATGATTCAAACGGAGCGCATGGGCAGAAAAGCCTCACTTTGTGAATCATGTTGATCATTTAATCTAATCTGAAAGCATCCTCTGTTACAGATGCTTGTCTCGCGCAAAAGGATTCCTTTTGCTTCCGTAATAAAAATGAATCAAACCAAGTCAGTGATGTTTTTTGCTGTTTTATTCAATCAATGACAGCAACATCTCTGCATGATGGTTTAAAAAAAAAAAACACCAACAGACCCCAAATGTTGTCTCTCTTAGCCCTTATCTGCCCAGGTTCCTGTCATTCCATTCAGGGAACACACACCCGGTTTAACCATTGGCTGCAGTCCCAGCATCACGCATACCTTTCACTGATTAGAGATCAGCCCGCTCCGACACAGCTCTGGGGGCCGTGCCTCTTCCCCAGCGGTTATCTCCCAGGCTCTGTCCCTCCGGTGTCCACGGCCGGCGGAGGCAGAGCCTCAGCGAGAGCACACACCCAGAGAGCAAAGTGAGCAAACGCACTCAAACAAAAAAAAAAGAAAAAAGAAAAGAGGAAGTGGGAGCAGCTTCTGGCGCGCTCGCTCAGAGGCGCGCCGTGCTCTCAGTCTGGTGATGGGTTAGGAGAGAAGTGTGGGGGGGGTAAAGTGGAAACAGCGTCAGGGTATCAGGAACAGGAAGCGGTGAGCTACCTGGTAAAACATGAGGCTTTTTTGTCCCTCTCAGCTGAAGCATCTCAGCACTCACAAATGGAGATTTGGTCGTTTTTGCCATGAATGCAGCGTAGAGCGGTGAGGGTGCATCCTCTGCTCTGTTCCACCGGACACTTTTCTGACTCATCTGGAGGCAAGATGACAACTAATCGAAGTGGTGAGGGCGCCATGAAAAAGGGAGAAGAGCTTAAAATTGTGATTGTGGGAGATGGAGGCTGTGGGAAAACGTCTCTTCTGATGGTTTATGCCAAAGGGGACTTTCCAGAGGTAAGAAAAGCTCCTATATCATTCAGCCTACCATGTCTCTTTTAATTCTGTGTTGATCTTGTTCAGTAATAATTCCTGACGACTTTTGTAAAAATGTTAAAAATGACAGTATTGGATCTTGTATTTGAAATAAGTAAAAAAAAGAACAACTTTTGTCGTGTAAGCGGCCTCATGATGCTCACAAATAAAGTGTAGTCTGTGTAGGTGGTTAGAAATGTGCTTAACGAATGAATAAGCAATGACATGCTGAACATGAAGCAGTACATCTCTCTCTTCTGTGTCAAAAACAGAAGTACGCGCCCTCGGTGTTCGAAAAATATGTCACATCTATCACACTCGGAGGAAAAGAGATAAAGCTCAACCTGTACGACACAGCCGGTAAGACAGAACCCACTTCCTAGTCACACTTTCTGGGTTAGTTTTGGACCCGCAGCACGCACACCCAACCTTCCAACCCATTCAACTTAACATGGCGAGAATTTTTCAGCCCGCCGGCCTCAGCCGCCACGCTTTGTTTCCAGATTGTGCAGACAAACCCAACACACACACACCGAGTCCGAGGTCAGCTCTGATAGGGTCAGCGGGACGGCAAATATTTCCCTAGTTTCATATCTTTCTAGATATTAATATCTGGCCACATCCAATAGTGAGAACCTCACTGTTCACGTCCCTGCGCTGACCCTGATGGACAGGGGAGAAGTGGTAAAGGTTGATAACAATGTGGCAGCTGCAGTATCATCAGCTTTTAGGAAGTGAGTAAATAAGCAGCTTTGGGCCAGAGTTTATTGAGCCCACGTTATAGACGCTGTCAGGGTCATGATATTTAACTTTTTCTCTACGACTGCCTTGAAGCTAGAAAAATCTACTTATTCGCCTTGATTTTATGTGTGAGAAGCATTATAATTGTTCCCCGATGGCTCAGGTTGGAGTGTTTTGCCATCTGATACATTATTCTGGACCTTTTCTTTTTTTTGCTGAATTATGTGGTTGGATCTTTAAACACACATAGGGGTTACTAATGAGTTCAGTGGGGTATTTTTGAAGTCATTCAATTAGCAGGAAAGGCCATGACAGCACTGGAACTTATCTTTTGAATAACAGTGTTTCTCACATCAGCGGAGGAGGAAACTGAAGGCAGGATGTGGTTCATGTGTTTGACGTCGCTTCGACACACACACACACACACACACACATCGTATCAGTGTTTTCAGGCTGCCGCATCAAAAGTAGAAGCACTCTTTGAGTCACGCTCTGCATTTACACGCACGGCTGGTTGCCAGCGGGGGAGTGCTCCTATCACCTCTACCTGTGCTGTGCTTTTGTTCCTCAGGACAGGACGACTACGACAGACTACGGCCGCTCTCCTACCAGGAAGCCAATCTGATTCTAGTCTGCTTTGATGTGACAAACCCCACCAGCTTTGAGAACGTCCAGATAAAGGTAGTCAACCACCCGACGCCGAGTCAAATCTAAGATGTGACAAAGAGGCGAGACTGTTTGTGTTGTGTGTCTAAAAGAAGAATTTCAGGTTTGCTTTTCAAGTTCAGCCTGTTAATGAGTGATAGGCTGGTATGCTGCCATTGGCTGCTGTCTTTTAGCTGTGATTAACTCACGCACTATGACAGAGAGAGACTATGGACATTGATCACCCGACAAGGACTCATTGCTGCAAAAACAAACAGAAAGAGAGAAAGGCCGTCAGATGACTCAATCCTGAGGCGTAGGAGAGATTAATGTACAAAAACAAAGGGCTGACGCACCTGGTTTCAGGCCCTTAAAACTTCTTTTGGTTTGCCCAGTGGTTCCCGGAGGTGAAGCATTTTTGCCCCAACATACCAGTCGTCTTAATTGGCTGCAAGACCGACCTCAGGAAGGATAAAGAGTGTGCAAGAAAGCTGAAGGCCACGAATCAGGATCCCATCACTTACTTACAGGTAAGCGATGTGGGAACACACAAACAGACTATGAGACCCCCCCCCCCCCCCGAGCTGTCAAGAGGTAATCTGTCACATGAACAAAGGGAAGCAGAACATGACTGAATAAGTGCAGGTTCTCTTTGCTTGGTGTCAGTGTTCACAGGTCTATAATTCCTGTTTGTTTGCAGGGCGAGGAGATCCGCCAGCTGATGAAAGCAGAACTCTACCTCGAGTGTTCCGCGAAGTATCAGGAGAACGTGGAAGACATTTTCAGAGAGGCAACAAAGAGGGGTCTGGCCTCCAACCGAAAACAGAGGAACCACAAGAGGAAGAGGAAATGTGTGGTTCTGTGAGCGTGAATAAAAGGACAGGGGCTCCCACGGGCCCGGCCTCCTGCAGGCCCTTCGGTGCTGGGCGTCCCTAAGCTGCGCTGCGCCACACCATCAGCCAGGTTGCTTTTTATGTGCAACGCAATCACTATTGCTGCAACAGGAAAGACTGTTTCACAAGCGGCAATATTTTGTTCTTAGGTAGCGAACATGAAATTCCTGTGACCTCGCTCTTCTTTTTAGTATTATTTAAGAAAAGAAAAAAAAAAACTTTTGTAATGGCAAGCATTTGCTCAGTTGTGTAATTGTAGAATGTATTAATTGGAAGAAGATCCACAGTTCTGACTTGGTCAGAGTGTATTTTATTTGCCGGGTGTTTAAAGTTGAACTAAAAAAAATGCTGGTAGAAAACTTCCACCCTCATCAGAAGATAAAAAAGAAAGAAATCCAAAAGCCTCTTGCAGTGGCTGAACAGCAGGTCACAGCATTTGGAGGCTGTGCTGGTGCTGTGGGTTTAGTTTGATCAAAACATCAGGAACTCGGTTTTTAGCTTTAGCGACAGCGCCCACTAGAGGCCGCAGCGATATCTCAGGGCTGCAGTCTGGACCCCCCCTCCAGGGCTGAAATAAAGGCACACACTGCCTGTGACGTTGCACATCAAACACTTGCACAGCTGCTGATTGAGGCGTTTAATATTTTCACAAAGTACACAGATTAAGAAACTGGCCACTGTCTTGTGTTACTGACCCCAGTCCAGGCACCTGAAACAGTCTCTGAACCAACAGCTACATCGTGGGGAAAAAGACGAGGATATAATGTTGCTTTGTGCAGAGGAGCGGCTCCCGAAATGAAATGAAACTCTTAACTGTCTGACCTGCTTCAGTCTCTCCACTCAATAAACACGCTCAAATGATAAACAAAAACACAGAAACAAATAGATAACTTTTTTTTCTTTGCCAGATCAAGGGAGAGTAAGGCGTGATAGACCTGAGCTTTGATTACATGCACAAAACACAGATGCAAAACCACAGGTAACCAGAGTGAAAGTTTCAGACATGAATCTCGACACATTTTTAAGTTATACTTCTGACATTGTATATAATTAGAAAAAAAAAAAAAAAAGGTCCAGAACCTTTAGCTGTGTTAAAGTAACAGAATCTATGTGATTAGCAGCATTTGATAGTTTCTAACGCAACATTTTAACCACCTCCACACTCATGAAACGTTCCAAATTTAAAACCATCAGACAAACACAATGAAGTATTGTAAACATCCAGCCTGGTAATAACGTCCCTGTGATCATGAAAAAGGATGCTATGCTTTCTCTGCAGTTGAGGCGGAGCATACAAAGGACTTTTGTAATTTCTGCCTGGGGAGAAAGATGCTGTTGCGTTCCCTTGTCGCAATCTTATTTTTTTCTCGACATTAAAAAGAGCAAGAGTTGAACTCTGACTGTACTGAGAAGAGAACGCCACGGTAGAGTTTCCCTTTTCCTCCATCACACTGAAGTTAATGTATATTACACGTCATGTCTGACATCTGGGAGAAACAGCAGTTAGCAGGGAACCAGCATGACACCGGGCTGAGGACAAAAAAAAACAAACAAAAACCCAACAAAAAACAGGTATTGACATGAAGTGAACATGAGCCAGAGCCAGTTTGACCATTACTACTTCACAGAAGTATGCACGTGACAGACTTTAGGTCTTAAAAAGGCAAACGATGTTCAGTTCTGCTACCTGCCCTTGTTTGGTTGCATATGATTTGAACAAAGGCTCTCTGAGACCCACGCGCTGACACAAACATGGAGTAACACATTCTCTCCGCTCACATTTTATATACACAGGATAATGCGACAATGCTTGTCTTGTTACGTGGACATCAGCACTGATTAGCCCCCTCAGGGGGGCGTTGGGGAGTAATGAGGGGGCCGGGCGCGGCTGTGAGAAAGGGCGCCGGCGGCCCCGCCCCCTCCCAGCCTGAGCGCTCTGTGGTCTGTCCGTCATGCGGCTGTGCGTGTTTGCTTCCCCGATTACTGGCCGTTGGAGGGATACTTGGCTGAAATGATTCTCAGTCACTCTTTTGCACTTGGTCCTGGTTGTTTTGAACTTTCTGGTGGACAACTTTTAATGTGGTGAGGAAATTTCCCAGGAAGAGGACGAGAAATGTCAGTGCCAGCATGAAGACCTGAAGAGAACGGGGGAAGGGGAAGCAATGTTAGATTTATCGTTTTACACATTCACCATCTTCCAGTTCAGTTGACCGTGGCAGAATCCAGGAGTTGTGGAGAAGAATGATGCCCTCTCTTTTTGAAAAGATGAAACGGTCCTGTGCTAAATGAGGAAGAAGAACTGGAACTACCTTGTTTGTCATCTGGTAAACTAAAGTCTGCTAGCTCTGTAATTTCGACTCAATGTTGACATTTTAAGAAATTAATTAATTAATTTCCAAAAACTGAGCAATTTGAGCTTGTTAGATCCACCAAAATTGTGCTAATAAAGAAAATTTAGGAAAAAATCTACAAGTACATCTGTTCCTCAGTTACATGCAAAGATGAGAAACCTTTGTACCTTTGTAACTTGATTTTTCCATTCCAGAGGGACAGGAATGTACATATGACACGTCACATGATTTAAACTCAAACACTCTTCTGTAAGGAGTAAATGCTCTTTTCTGAGGAGACGCGTTACACCAGTGACAGAACCACATACTCAGTATTGATATTCTTCCACAGTGTAGGTGATTTGGGACATTTGTCTGGCGAGTCAGCCAGTGGGAGCTTTACCTGCCACTCCTTGCAGTCCTCATGCCCTGCCAGGCGAAACAGGGTCACAGAGTTGTAGAGCTGCCAAAACTGCAAAGATAGAGAAGGCATCATCTTTCATTATGCCTCTGCACACTGATGGTGGAGCGAGGTCTGCCTTTGATCTTTGTCTTTCTCCTCACAGAATAATTAAGTGAAAGAACAGATAAAAAACAAATCCAGATTTTAGCTTTTGAAGCTTTTATGCTCTACCCATGGGAGCACATAACCTTGTCAAATGTCCATAGGTGGTAAAGCTGCCCTCCCATTCTAAATAGAAAGCTGGAACAATGAGGCAAGCTTGACTTACGTGGCCAAAAAAGAGGAAAGGCAGAAGAAATGTGAGTCCTCTCCACATCCAGGACTGGAACCCCTCTGCAGGGACACACAACGACAAACGGTGATCACAAACGTGACAAAGAACACAGCGCAGGGGGATTGGTCTGCTGTCGTTGGGTTGTCTGCGCCCAACAATGCGACATGAGAGACGGCGTTTAGGGACCGGCTCAGCGAGGCCTTCCTCCCGTCACCCCGCATCTCCATCGCAACGGCCCGATGACAACAGCTGCCTCCGCTCCTCACCCTTACCCCATTTATCCAGACATGGTGTTCCAGATGGCTCAAGAGTTCAAAGGATTGAAATGACTAACACCAAAAATAGCGTTCAACTCACCCACTGTGAGGTCCAGCTGATTTCGCTCTCCCAAAGCGCGCAGCCGGTACAAGCAGCCGCTCTGGTAGTAGTACTGGAGGAACTGGAGAAAGCCTGGAGGACAGGGCGGTGGATAAAAGCACAAAACCACACCGATGAACAAATCTGATCAATTTCATTTAGACTTTTGGCTTCACACGCAGAAGATGTCACAGAGAAGAAATCTATTGTATTAATTTAGAATATCTACATATTAAAGACAGGCATAAATTCATGAATGCTTGCAAAATGGTTAAGACACAATTAGAAAAATAAGGAAACCAGAATCATTTTATTCTAATTAAGACAATTATTTTGGCTCCTGTTGTATCCTCTTATTACCCCCCCCCCCCATACACACACACACACACCAGCCTACATGTGACATATGAAGCAAATGACCCAGAGTGAGAGTCCTCTTCCATTATCCATTCTGATGAGAAGTTATTCTGAAAATCTACTGATCCACACGAGTTAGGTGGCATCAGTCTAAATCTAAATGAGCTCATACTTTACTGCTGTGTAAACTAAGCAGGAATTCCAGGTGTTACTTTCAGTGACAGCGTCACAACACAGCCTATGGCTAAAAAAACTGTTAGCTCAAGTTTGATCAGTCCCTGTTGATCTCCACTTCTGCTCATCAGCTGAGAAAGTCTCTTGAGCTTTCTTTGACTGCTGATTAGTTCAAATAAAGATATTCTGAGATTTAAAAAAAGGATTAGAGTTCCAGAAAAGTGTAAATGAATACTTTTTTTTTTAAAGATGAAGAAATACATTTTTTTTGTAGACATTAAGCATTGAAATTGAAATATTAACTGCTAATAAGAAATTTCACATTTTCAGCACTTAGAACTGATATTTTATGAGAATTAAACTAAATAAGAACAGAGCTGACATGTTAGTTTTACTCTAGTTATCTAGGTACTGGGGTTTTATTCCAAGTCAGCAAGTTGGGAAAAAAAAAACTTTAAATGGGTGCTTTTATGGATTGAGTCAGACAATGTGAACTTAAAATGGAGCACTCTGTACAGAACGTTTACTTATTCATTATCTTTTAATTCGATCAGCAATTTAACGAGTTTAACTTCGTCACTGCAGATAAAACTTTTTCACCACACTGGCATGTTCAGGCAAATGTATGAACAGAATGTCATATGACTAAAAGACCACAGACATAATGTAACAGCTTTGTAAAAAAACAACTCCGCAAGACTTACTCTGATAAATGGAGAATGAAAGAAACTGGCTCCTGAACATCTGATACATTGGCCCCTCCGGCCTGTTCAAAGACAATAAAGTTAAGAGACATAAAGAACACTGTGGCCTTTTTTTGTTTGAATAATCCAAATGACAGCTCACCAGGTTAGCATAACCCCTGACAGGAAAGTGGAAACATAGTGGTGAGACACCCACCAGCCTTTGATCCTGAAAATGTGGGAGGACACAGAGAGAAGAAGAATTCAAGTAAATATCAAATCCATACACCAGTATGTGAAATAAAAATCATATTCCCAAAGTCATACATGTAACAAAACAAATGATAAAGGCTCATTTCACATACCTGGAGCCATTGCTCATTAGGATGCTTTCTCTAATGGTCAGGGTGCAGTAGTACCACACCAGTAAAAAGTTGAAGATTTCATCTGTCACCCTAAAGGTAAAGAAGGCAAATGGTATCAATAAAGCCCTTTGGGTCCAAAAGTAATACTTTTGAAGGAAGCAAAGGTCTCTCACCGATAGTTGAGAAAGAAGAGGCAGGTTATAGCTCCAAACATCAGGATTATGGTCATATAAAGTTTGAACTTCTCGTACTCGTCTTTATAAGCAAACCTGTGGAGGTAAACAGACAAAGAGGAAGTAAATGTGACTGCCCAACAGATGACAATCTCAAGCTATATTTCCAAAGCTGTCAAATGCCTAAAGGCTTCCCTTACTTTGCCTGGTTACTCAGAAGCGTCACGTTCACATTGCCCAAGACCAAACTCAAGTAGAGTCTGAAAAAAACCCCCCACCAAGTTAATAAAACTGTAATACATTATAGCAAAAGCAGTTTTTTCTCACCCTAGTCATGGATTCTGAGGATTTGTGGTGAAATGTGTCTTAGTGAATGTAAAAGACATGAAAACCTTCTCACCCATTCTTCTTTGGCAAATAAGCTTCCATGTCAAAGAAAACATTTTCTCTATCTTTGATTTGCGTCCTGATGTCCGTTATGACTTTCAGCTCTTCCTCGTCACACTTCTTTGCACATCTGTGAGGGGAAGGTTCAAGGGGAAGAACACATTAAGTCATTGCTGCAGAATAAATGAGAAGAAGTCAAATTAGTCTGGTTAAATCGGCAATAAGTCTACGTATTCAACCACAACGAGGTTGGATACCTCGTGTACGTCCTGTAATGTTGGGCTCACTCACCTGCTCAGGCTGTACCTCAGGTCTTTTAGGCATTTCCTTTGTTTACTGATGGCACTGCTGCATGTTGCCTGGAGATTGGTGAGCTCCTCCAATTTTTGCCTGTATATTTTATGGGTTTCCTGGAGATCAAGCAAATGCACGAGGTGTTAAAAACATCTGTACAACAGAACGAAACGGAATTAGAGACAATCGATCTTTGCAGAAAAGGAATCAACACTGTGACATCTTATGTGACTTCTCTTCTTACTCAAACAGCCCATGATTCTGCATTTAGAGGTGAGAAAAGCACTACACAGAAACACACGCTGCTTACCGGTTTGTCTTCCATCTCGTGTTGCGCGACAATTATTAAAGGAAATCTTGAAAGCTGGAAGATGATAGGCATAAAACTGCGGCACCTTTCATTTAACAATTTCAGAATATAACTTTAAAGGATGAAACTGAAACCTATCCCATCCTCTGTTGGAAGCACGACTAAAGGAATTGGTGGTGAAGCTGCACAGTCAGCACAGATAAGCTATGATCATCTGAGGTTAGAGACTCAACACCAGCACTAGGTTTCCATGACTGCCATTGGACACGGCTTCCAACTTTCCTTAGAACGATCTTAATATAAAACCAGAGGAAAACCAGCACCGAGTAGAGTCATGTGTGCAGTGTTGGTACCCAACGTAACAACAGGAGATGTGGAAAGATGCTTACTGAACCGTTCCCTCATGATATCCATCCCTATTGCCATCCTTCCAAACCAAGCTGAAGAACACTCAGGGAAGTTTATTTTTCTGATACGAAGATACAAAGCTACAGAATTAGCACCTGAAGCCAAAGACATCCAGCTCGGAGGATGGGTCTGCTCAGGTCTGAGTCTGGACAGCTGACCTATCCTTTTCAACTTCAATGTCTCCATCTTCTTTTCAGTTTTAGGGGTTTAAAATGTTGATGGCCTCAGCCATCCACTTTTTAGCTGTCCTATTCTACCTGCATGAGAACTGGGACGGTTGTAACCTATGGTCACGGACCACGAAATGTTTAAACGCTACTTAAATTGAATGGCATCTTTTCTTAAGTTGCTCACAGTTAGCAAACTACAGCCAAAGTGACCTCGCCGGTAAGGCAGAGCAGATAACGAATTCACAGGCTACAAAGTGATTTACCCATGCAACCGAATTGTAGCAAAGACTTGTAGCGTTTATGTAACTTTAGTGGCATCAGCTTAATCAAAGGTTAGCTTTGATTTGCTCTTCAGTGGCAACAGAAGAGGAGCAACCTGCTGCTAACATTAGCAGCAATAGCACATGGACGTTACAACGAAGTCCAACATAATTAACACTGGGGAAAATATGACCCATTCCCACGCATCCCTGCCAGTAGCGTGGTTATCGACCCGTTGTTTGAGGCTGAACCGAGAATGAATGGCGAAGAAAACAGCAAAGAGCCAGACAAACTACCCTAGCCGCCGCTACGGTCTCTGCTGTCAGTGACATCCGCGGCACGGCACTGCTGCAACCCTACGTACATCCACGCACAAGAAAACACTCGTCTAAGTGACTCCACTCACCTGCAATTGTTGATATTCTTCGTCAATTTCCTCCCACTCCGTCTGAAACTTCGGTTTGGACATTGCGGGAAAGCGGACGATGAGGGGAACCGAACGCCTTAACAAGGTTTCACCCCGAGTGCCTCCTCTCGCAGCCTGCTCCGTCCCACTCCGACGCGTCTTAATTGTGCCGCACTGCGCATGCGCCTGGCCGACTCTCAGGTCAAACGCAGTTGAACCACAGTTAAATCTCTTTAGAATAAATTACTCTTTTAAAAAAAAAGGCAAACTAATCTGGTTTCAGCATGTACTTTCTGACTCATTCACTTTTAACTCTAAAAATTATATATAAAAAATCTACTACAGCAATTACGGTTCACGCCACCGTTGCTAGGATACAACTTACACAACTGCTGTCTGTCTGGCAAGAAGAAGCGGTGGGAATTTACATTGCTTGCTGTCAATGTTTTCTTAATTTCTTGGACATCTATGAGGCCGAATTTAACTTTGACTAAGTCATCCACCTAGACCAACAGCAAGGTAAGTACATTTACTTTCAATTAGTGTTAACTAATTTTCTGACTCTTTTCTGCTCCCCTACTGTTGAAATACAATATACATTCTTCTAGTGGTGCAATAATGTCCGCAACGTGTTTTGAAAATTGTGAATATGACTTAAACTATCCCATTACATTGACTTAATGTAGCATTTGGAGCAGTCACCAGTTTGGTAAATATCACTTTGACAACAACTTAGGAACAACTATTTGTGGCCATGTCCAGCCAAAATGGAAACCATGTTCTAATTTTTCTATCATGTCACAAGGTCTCTCAGGGTCTCAAATAGTTAGCCCCGCCATGCCGTATATGAAACCACTGAAAACAAATCCTCAATCCTCAACACTGAAAGATGTTAAGTCACAGAAGTGTGGGCTTCGGCACACAGTCTTCTCTGTCAGTGGAAATGAGTACACGGGGGAGTGGCAGCATGACAAGAAGCATGGTGAGAAACTTGTTAGTTTCAACAAAATCAAATTTTGTATTCTCTTTTACCAAGCCCCAAATGTTATTACACTGATTTGTTTGTTTGTTTGTTTGTCAAGGTAAGGGAACTCAAGTTTGGAAGAAGCCTGGAGCCATTTATAACGGTGACTGGAAATTTGGAAAACGGGATGGATACGGTACCTACAGCGTGTTAATCCCAGAATCAGAGGAGTACTCAAGGAAGTACAGCGGTGGATGGAAAAATGGGAAGAAGCATGTATGATTTCTTTATAAAAGATTCTGAGTGTGGTCTGAGCGTGTATGGCCAGTCTGTGACTGACTGTACATCTCCTCAGGGGTATGGGACATACTTCTACAACAACTCTGAAATCTATGAAGGTGAGTGGAGTGAGGACCTGCGGAGCGGCTGGGGACGGATGTACTTTCAGAATGGAGACATTTATGAGGGCGAATGGTTGAGGGACAAACATCATGGACAAGGACTCATTAGATTTTGTAAGAGAATTTGTTTATATATTTTTGAGAAAAACAAATTGTAGTTTAAACAAAAAAAAAACATGACCATGAATTTTATACTTGTTTTAAAAGCAAACGGAAACTGGTATGAGGGTACCTGGCGCAATGGCAAAAAGAGTGGTAATGGAAGGTTCTACTACTCTGACAAAGGCATGCTTTATGAAGGTTTTTGGGTGGACGGAATAGCAAAATGTGGGACCCTGTCAGATCCTGAGAGGGACAAAGCTCCAACGCCAGCTAAGTATCCAATTCCAAAGGTATTTCATTTGGACCATTCCACCTTTATAATCACTTTCATGAGCAGTAAGATAAAAAGGCATCACAATGTGAGTTTCCAGTGCAGTGTAAGGTATTTATACATTCAACAAATCTTCCTCTTTTCAAGTTACACCTGACGGATATGGAGTTGGTTTTAAACGAAGCAAAATCATCTTACACAGATCAGTCTTGACAACCAACAAGAGGATCTACCTGTTTCTTTCTCAGATCACGTGAATAAAGAAAGAAAAAAAAAAGTATTTTCCACGTTGCGTCTGGTCAGTATTTTTATATTTTCACACTGATAACTAATTTCCAAGTTCAGGATGAAACTTAGTTTAAAACATAGATATTCTTACAAAAAAATGTGTGAATAGACTAACCAAAAATAGCAATTACGGTAATTCAATTCTCACAGTTACATCAGCGTGATACAAATGAAAACATACAAGTGATTTTAAGTTCGACATGGGATTACGTTACTTCAGAATTGACTTGAAATGCTTTGCTTCTGCTCAAAATTGATCACACTAGTCTAACATAAACTTTAGCTCTCACGAGCTTGAAAGAGGATCTCCATGTTCCAACATTCAATTCTGATAATAGATCTGCCCGTGTCAACATTCAAATATGGTATTTGCAATTAAAAAGAAAAACAAATCTATTTAAGACTGCAGAAGGTGCTATAATATAGATTAAAAAAAACTTCAAGATCAAGACATCAGTAAAACCACACAGTGTAAGGATCACAGCTGGTGAAAGCAGGTAGTCATTAACGTAGACTTTGCATAGACATCAGTTATGTTAGCTATGCAAATGTCATACTTTCAACACCCACATTCTGAAAGGGGTTTTGTTAAATAAAATGTTTATTCTATCCCCTCAGCCAGTGCCTTCGATGTCAGCACTCGCCTCTAATAATACTGTCATAGTGGCAGCTGATTAGTCATGCCTTTGTTGAAAAAACATGGAGTGCATTAAAACAGAACCTGTAAGTAGAGGGAGATGTCAAGCAGTTCACAAAACACAGCCAAATAAATGACATAAACAAAGGTAGGATTTGTCTGATAATCTGATTCATAAATGCAGCAGACAGGAATCCAAGTCACTGATCAGACGTCTGCCATAATGAGATAAATCAAGCAACAATCCCAGCTAAGACTTGGTGATTTTAAGCAACATGCATTATGGCAGATTGAGTAGTCACAGTTTACCAGATGTGCTTCTTAAAAATACAACTCTTCACAAAAGTAAATTTCACAACAATGGGTGAGATATATATTCATTCACGTAAAAACCTAAGCCAAACTTTCGTCCTCTGGCTTGGAGAAATCCCAAAGAATTAGAGTTCCTCCACGGACACACAAACTATAAAGGTCTATGGGAAGTGTGAGCTTGGAGACTGCAAAATGGAAGTTTCTCCTCTGTTATCCAGCTCATTTTGAAGCCTGGTGAGGTTGGACAGCTCCTCGAGCTCCTGAAACTGTCTGTCAGTCTTGTGGCTGACCAAAGAGCGATAGAAATGCACCGCGAATACGATGAAGATTAAACCAAAGGGGACCATGATGGATGTGGAGGTGATCGCAGCCGCCACACCGGAGGAAACTGTGCTGTTGTTGGATTTGTTGGGCTTGATGGGCAAAAATTTGACCCAACAGAGTAGAACCACCTCAGCTAGGAAGAGCAAAGTACCAATGACAGTGGAAAAAGCCCAAGCCAATTCGATGTATCTGTGCATCCTCTCATGGGGAGACTCCTTCACAGAGTTGAGATTGTGCACGTTGCTGACAGCCTCGATATTTGGCAAAATGCAGGTGCTGACCATCAGTGCAAACAGGTGAACGGCCACGAGCACGGTAGTGCATGCACTGAAAGCAATAAGGAGAGCCGGGTGGTAGGGATAACTGTTGTCCAGCTGCACTTCTACCATGGCGACCTGGAAAAAGGAAAACACAACTTTTAACACATGTCGGCAGCACCATCGCGAGATTGGTCGAGCCCAGAGAATGCACGGGGGGCGACGTTACCATAGCAAATCCGGAGAGCAAAGCTGATGTCCGACTTGAAGCCTTCAGTTTAGCTCGACTCAGGTAGAGCTTCCTCCAGGACAGCGCTTGCAGGGAATGCTCGTTCAGACTCATGTTGCACCACTCGACAAAACACCGGCCCAAGCAGCGCAGCCGTTCCTAAACTCCTGCGCCACAAGAGACAGAAAAGAGCGTCCACCTACGTTCACTTAGAGAGCATTTACCCTCGCTCGTTGACGGAATTGCGGAAGCAGTTTCGTCCGGCGGCAGTCCTCCCCTCAGCGTGCTGAACTGCCTGCACCTTAAATTACCCACAAGGCACCGCGCGGCGAGGCGAACATCCGTTACCAAGCGAAGCGTCGGCGGCGTGCGTTCGTTCGTTCGGCCCCAGCCTCACGACGCGGGAAGAACAAGATATTTTCAGCTCCGAACAGACCATTAAACTAGTCGGCGACACCCAAGTCACGCATATAACGCGGACATTAGCTTAATTAGTCACTTTGTTTGTCAGGAAATGTCAGAAACTGGGTCATGTCGAAGGGAGCAGCTGCGGGCAACAGCGAGTTTGACCCTCCCAAAGACGGACAGGTTCACTTATTTCTATGTTTTTGTGTTGGACCTTAAAGGCCAAGATGTAAACAGAGGTGGACTCCGCCGTATTTTAAATCCTCGTTTGTGTGCACCGTATTCAGAGTTGGAACACGGAACTTTAAATGAGGCAATGGTTTCCTCCTCCTCTCTTGTGTGAAGCTGCAAAGAACATGAGACAATATGGACATACTTTGGGCTTTTTTCTTTGTTTGTCACCTTCAGCATTCTTAGGTATTGCTCATTTTAAAACAAGATGTGTATCAATTGTTTGACAGGCACCTAAATAAAATTCCTGCTAGATATGGGGAGTAATCATTTTGATTTCTTAATTTTTTTATTACATTTCTCACAACCAAAGTTAAAATGACACAACTAGAACGTGTGTTCTTCTATATGTCCTTTCTAATTTGAAAAAACAACAATGCAAATTCATATTAGCAATTCATTTCCCACAGTTGGATACATCATTTTCTTTTGGGGTTTTTTGTCAATAAAACGTGTTCTTTGAGTGTCACTATGCAAGTAAGATGTTTTCTACAAACTTCCATAAACAAGTGTAAAGCAAATGCCTAATAATTTATACTCCTGGAACTTTCTGCTGATTTAGTTAAAGAGAAGCCAAAAGTAACAGATTAAGAGGACCAGCGACCTGACCCTGGCATTGTGATGGATGTGTAGGGTTTGTAAATCCCACTGAAGGCGGCAGACTGACATGCTATGACGCTGTCCAACAATGTTTTGGTTCCTGGCGGTGACGTAATACACAAAAACATGGTTCCCCTTGTTTTGAACCCGTAAAGCGTGCTAAGTGCTTCTTTAACTTTACCAAGCACGAGGATGCTTTTCGCAGACTGAGCGACTGGAAAACCATCTTGAGAGACGATGGCTCAGTCAACGGAAACGTGTGCTGACTCCGGACGGAGGCTGGTGTGTACCATCTGCCATGTTAACGTTAGCTTATGAAGACAGACTGGCAGCGAGCTAATTAGTTAGCTATGCTAACGTTTGCAATTGGAAACGTTGGGACATTTGTCATGCCACCGAAGCCCACCAAGTTTTAGGGGAAACGAGGGAGGGCGACATTTGCCGCATTTTAGACTCCATTGCACGTTGAAATTTTGTCAGCAATTGTCGAGTGTGCCGTAGTCAAAACAAGACAAATGCACACAGTGGAGTGAAATCATGCCATGAATGCAGTTATCATCTCGGGGCATCACACCAGCAGCTGCCCTCTCCCCCGATAAGCGCATCTTAGCCGTGCTGGTGTCATGCGGTGGAGGAGGAAATGGTGCAGTCACGGTAACGTAAACAGTAGTACTATGGAAATGTGAGCACGGCCCCTCTGCTCCAGTTTGAAAGTTGAGAGTAAATAAAAAACGGAGGCTGGGCAGGTCTCCATCAGTGGTGGCTGTCAGCAGAGAGGAGAGGAGCGGGCCTTTGTGACACGGGGGTGGCCGTCCAAGCATGTGGCTCAATATTGACGTGTAAAACCCCCTGTCGTTTTCAATGGCAGCGCTCCATCTGCCGGAGGATGTACGACGAAAACGAGGACCTGTCCGACGTGGAGGAAATCGCAAATATCAGAGGGTTCAGCGTGGAGGAAAAGCTCGCCAGCGACAGCTACAGCGCGGACTTCGTCCGGACGATGGAGGGCAAAGGTAAATAAACACAAAGCACGCCTCGACTTTGAGCTGGCCCTGGGATCATTTGCAAAGACCAGCTGTTTAATATCTGTCTTACAAAACGCTCCTCTTCCCCTGAGTTGACATGCTCTTTTAAGAAAAAAAATGCTTTGGTATTAAACTCAGTTACTGTCTTGCAGATTTCACTTATGAATATGTGCAAAAGGAGGCCCTCAGGATCCCACTGATTTTTAAAGAAAAAGCTCAACTAGGAATCAGGTGAGAAGTCTTTTTCTGCCTGGATTTTCTATAAATATCAGGGAGTGAAAACTTTCTATCTTGTAATCTCAACCCAAAAGGAAAACACCATGGAACATTTGCACAAGTTGTAGAGGAAAAAGCTATTTTATAATATCCTTTTGTAAACACAATTAAAAGGAATACATTATTCATCCTTAACTCTTTCAAATCATTAATATCCCACTTTTTGAAGTCTGGTTATTATAATTTAGAGTATTATTACATAGTTGCAGTTACTTATCCCAACCCATCTCTCCTTATACAGATTGATATTCTGACCTTTTTACAGCAAATTTAAGTGACTGACTGACCTGCAGACCCCTCTTATATTTGTACAGAATGCCTGATCCAGAGTTTACAGTCAGTGAAATTAAAGGATTAGTTGGTAAGTGGACACACATGTACAAACACACATTTTTATTTCCTTATGTAGACACACAAAACCTGTTTGTAAACTAAAGAATACTCAAATGTATAACTATCCCAGCTACAGAGCCAAATAGGACATGACTGCAGTTTAAGCAGCTCAACAAATCCCTTTAGATGATGACTAATAGCACACTTTCTTTTCAAAGGTAAAATACTTGACCTGAGACAGTGTGCCAGAATAAAACATTTCCGGCATAGTCATAGTCAAATATAGAAAGCCTATTAAATGAAAAAGCTACTGTATGGCACAGGTGGAGAATCTGTTTTTAGATTTCTGTTTTATGAATATGAAAAGATGGACTCAGCAGGAGAGCATGTTGATGGGTTTTCAACTAAATGAATGACTACACTCAGCCCTCAGGCTGTCCTTTGTGTGTATTTATTGATCTGGTAAAGGTAACCACTTTCTGAGCTCTTATGTATTCTGAAAATATGTTTCAGTCTGATGGGATAACTGCTCCATCTAGTGGCCAACATACTCAATAACATTAAAAAGATTCCTGCGTATTTTCTGTGCTGGAGGATGTTTGCAGATGCCTTTTGTTTTTCTCTTTCCCAGCTGAATTAAAACCCTAAGGACAGATAGTGCAGGGGGAAGAGCCCATTACATTTAGTCCCTGCAGATGCAGATAATTTTCTTAGTTTAATTTAACAGGACATGCTCTGTCTGCCCTTCCTCTTCACCATGGAATCCACCACTATGTCAAGCATATCATTAAAATTGATGGAAGTGTCCTGTTTTTTTGTTGTTGTTTTTTTTTAACAGAAAAGCTGTTTTACTTGCATAGGTTAATTTCAGCTGGAATTCTGGTTGTTTCTTGCAGGAAGTCGGCGCCCTGTGGATGTTATGGACGTAAGCACTCAGAAAGGCTCTGAAATGAGCATGGCTCAGTTTGTCCGCTATTATGAAACACCAGAGGAAGAACGCGACAAGCTCTTCAATGTCATCAGTTTAGAATTTAGCCACACTAAGTTGGAGAACCTCATCAAACGGCCAACAGTGGTAATGTAACTTAATGCAAATTTGTCTGAGGTCATAAATCTGGATGCATGTTTAGAGAGAGACTATTGGAAAGTAATAGACTGATGCATGAACATGCTGTTCTGGTTATTTTCACAGGTAGACCAAGTAGACTGGGTGGACAACATGTGGCCTCCTGATTTGAAACAAAGCCAAACGGAGGCCACAAATGTTATCTCAGATATGAAGTACCCTAAAGTGCAAAGGTATGACTTTGTATTTGTGCCGAAAAGTTGATCAACAATGTGAAATATGGAAAACAGATCTGCTTCCGCGGTCATAAATACAACCTCCTCCTGCCATCTGATTACCTCGTGCATTTATCCATCCCTGCTGAGCTCTGTATGTTTTAAATCACTGTTAGTGCTCTATATTGTTGCTAGGCAGCAAATTTTCCTCAAGAGAAAAAGATGGTTTGTAACAGCTGTGGTCTGACGGCTCAGGCGCCTCTCAGCCAATCAGCAGAAATGGAGCCAAAATGAGTGAAAACCAATAATTGACTTTATCACATAGAAACATGTTAATACATACTTCACTGAATGTCTAAAAAAATTTATCTTATTTTGTGTCACTAAATGAATAACCTCTGCCTTCATTTGAGATGATATTTAGGCATCTTTCCTTTAAAAGCTGGTTCAGTGAATCTGTCCCACTATCTTTTAAATAAGAGTAAAAAAGAGGTTGTTTACCTGTTTACATCGCAGTGTTGATTCCATCACAGCTGCTTCCATCAAGCTAAATGATCTCTCCCTCAGGTGCTAATCGACTCCTGTCTAATTTCCAGAGGTGAAAATAGGAAAATTCTGATTTTCATCACTTTAGCTCTCTTATGAGTTTCCTCTTGCCATATTTTCTGTCTCTGCTTGTGAACCTTTTCTTTAATTAAAAAATTATTCGGGCTGGTGTCTAATTTTTCATGATCAACATTTAAGCGGATGGCAGTTTGATTTGGGGTCGTTTTTTTTGTTTTGTTAGGTATTGTTTGATGAGTGTGAAGGGCTGCTACACAGACTTCCACATTGACTTTGGAGGAACTTCAGTTTGGTATCATGTATTCAAAGGACAGAAAGTAAGTTAAATGTATGCTTTAGTAAGAGTTCCACCATTTTGTGGTATTGCATTAAGCACAGATTCGATAATATTTCTAAGCAAAAAGAATGTAAACAGCTTCATTGTGAACTTCAACTTATTCTCATCAGGTTTTCTGGCTGGTGCCCCCCACCCACCATAACCTGGCCCTGTATGAAGAGTGGGTTTTATCTGGCAAACAGAGTGATATCTTCCTTGGGGACCGAGCTGATGGATGCCAGAGAGTGGAGCTGAAACAAGGATACACCTTCTTCATCCCATCTGGTGGGTTGCCATGGTATTTAAATGTCGCCAGCAGGAATACATTTTCCTCGACTTTAATGAAGAGGAATATAAGCTTTCTCCAGTTATTGTGCTTTATGAGTCTGTACTGTGTTTCTTCATTTTGCCACAAAGGTTGGATTCATGCTGTTTACACCCCTGTGGACACACTGGTGTTTGGAGGCAACATCCTGCACAGCTTTAACATTCCAATGCAGCTAAGCATCCATGAGATAGAGAACAGGACTAAGGTAGGAGGCTGCATTCTTTAATGTTTAGCTACAATCTGACCTGCCTCACCGTACTGTAAACTCTACTTTTAAGAGGTGGGAGGATAATATGAGTAATGGAAGTGGAGTCAGCTTTGATTTGACTGAAATTAGGGGCTGAAAGTCAAATGGTAAGATATTTGTTAGTGAACAAATATACATTTGTAGTCAAGTATGAAACCATAGTCCGTATTATTGATATAAGACTCATATTCTTTAAAAAAGATAACTTCTTATTGGACACTGAGCTGTATGGCTTTGCCAAGAGATTTCTGATAATGCCCTTATTACAAAAACTGTTTCTCTAATCAAATCATTGGGAAATCAGGTAACAAAGAAAAGTTTACATAATTTGGCAACTTAGCATGAATTGAAGGAAAACATTTTTTTCCTTTGTCTTTAGGTTCATTCCAAATTCCGCTTCCCCTTTTACTATGAGATATGCTGGTATGTTCTTGAGAGATACCTTCACTGTCTGACCAAACGGTCCTACCTTACTCAGGAGATCCGCAGGGAGTGTGTAGGTGAGTAAAAATAAATAAGAAAAACTGATTTTAACAGCATATACTGAATTTGAGACATAGGATTGAGTTTTGAACCCACTAGATTGACCTGTGGCTGATCAACCTCTAATAATATTGAGCATACATTTTCTGAAATATATCAATTGTAGAATGATTTGGTAGAATATTTCATATTCTTCCAGGCTTTTCTGATTTCCAAGTGATATCAACAGAGATTGTTACCCACTTTTATTTTTTCAGATTACGAATCAAAGGCAAAGACAGAGAGCCCCTCCTCTGACTCCAGAAGCCAGGACATTAATGAGGACTCGTGTGGGACTCAAATCAGAGATTACCAGGGAGAACATACTGAGAGAGTCACTGAGGAGAGCCCCAACTCACCAGACAATATGAAGGGCCCATTTCTCAAGGCTGCTTTATCTGTTGACTCTGAGGACAGCTGCAATCCCTGCTCCACCACCCTGGACTTCCCTAAAACCCCCTCTGACTCTCCAGCTTCAGAGTCTCCTGGCAAATGGACTCATTTAACAGAATTTGAGCTGGTCGGACTCAGGACACTGGTGGAGAAGCTGGAGTCACTTCCGGAAAACAAGAAATGTGTCCCGATGCAAATTGAGAACCCCAAAGCTCTGCTGGAGGACATGAAGGTAAAAAAAACAAAGACGTCACTTCAAAAAAGTTCCTTTCAGAAAACAGATACAGTTGAGACTTTTTCTTGTCCTCTGTCTGTGTGAAGGCGGTCTTAAAGGAACATGCTGACGATGACGCTAAATTAGCAATCACAGGGGTTCCTGTTGTCTGCTGGCCAAAGAAAACCACAAAGGTAAGATTATTTCCCGGGGACCTGGCATATTGTTTTTTTTTTCAGGGGCATTAAGCTAAAATAGTGGAATATCTGATGATACAAACATTGTTTCCTCTTGTTGTTTGACTTGCTGGTTGTTATTGAAACCATGCAGCTACAGATGGGTCAGAGTGCCCATGCTGAGTCCTGTCTACGACAGAAACTGCCCACTCCATGGTTGATGTCAGAACTGAACTATGGAGAGATGAATCAGGGAGATTTGGTATAAATGAATCACTTTTTCTTTCAGAAGGAAGGAGGAAAGATGGAAATAGTAAGCTTGTAGGATAATGCTCTGTTGGGACACCTTGGGCCCTGTAGCCAATAATGGCTCTACGTCAGTTTGTTAATGAATGAATAGAGCAACAATATGTGAGTCTTATGGAGTAGATGTGGGGTGAGCTAATGTGGAAAAGCATGTTCGACACAATATTAGATGAGCATATTACTGTGGCTTCTCAGAGTATGTACTTATATCCTGTGAAAAGGGATGCTTATATTTTGATATAGTGTATTTTACAGGAAAACGTAATGTGTAAGACAGTTGTTACTGACACACTAATTGTATATTAGTCGTCTAAAGTAGAGCAGATCTATTTGAAACCCTGCCAGCTCGACCCAGTTTATTTTTCACTGATCTATATTTTCAGTGGAACTGCCAGTGAGTATTATTTTTTTTTCAGTTGTTTCCACTTGGTATTTTTCTTTCATTGCTTTCCAGGTCTCTGAGGGACTAAATCCTCTTGTTCCATAATCAGGTTCAGATTCCTTATTCTCTGTTCCAGTCCTCACTACATTCATTACCCAGAGCAGGAGCCAGGTTATTGGTATCATTCGGAGAGAGCAGAATCACAATAATTATTATGATTATGAGAAATTTTTGATGGGCTGAAACTGCAACAGATTATTAGAAAAGTTTATAATTACGTTTGAATATTTTCCTGTCTGTGGGTTTGTTTCCAAATGATGGGAAAATTATACAATCAGTTCAGGTTTTCAAGTGTTTAGCTTTAAAAATGTTTGACATATGCCTCTCTATTCACATGAAATCTGTTCTAATGTTTAATATCTGAGTGTCTCTAACTGTTTGGGGATCGGTATGCTGCATCCACCACCATCTCTGTGTAATTATATCAGCTCTAAACATTGGTAGACTGTGAATGATTTTCTGTCACAATTGGCTAAAAGATCAGTAACAAAACATTTATAAAAACGTGCATAACATTAAGATGATAAACTGGAAAAGGTACAATCCAACCACTTCTGATCTTGCATGTAAAAACACAATCCGTCTGTAGTTTAAAAGCATACAAAATAATAATTGTAGATTTTATGTGAATGCAGGTGGATATTTCTTTGGAAACAGTTTAACTAACTTCCATAAAGGAAACCAAAAAGCCAAAATGTGAGATTTAAGAATATTCTTCATATGCATGTGTGCAAATGAAATTTCTGCTGGTCTCATAACCTTCTGGCTTACCCCCACCACGTCCCCAACCGGTCAGCTGCTGGTCGTGAGGCCTCTTTGTGTTTTCCTTTTGTAATGAGATGCCATCTGGCTCTGTTGGCCGTGCAGAGCTTGCTCTACTCTTGCTGCGATGCTCATCATGAATATGGGAACACCTCCACTGCTGTGTCTCCCCATTGGACACACACACACACCCACCCGGTACATATTCCGGTGCACTGCGGCCTGCCATTGGCTCGGTGCGTCCAGGGGCTCCTCCCCCTTCCCAGGGAGCCTTTCCATATTAATGAGACAGGCTTGTATGTGCTTTTTACATCTGCTTGTGGTATTGTGAAGCTTTGGAGCAAGAGGGAGGGCTGTAGGCCTGACAGCAGTATCAGGAGTAGAAGGAGGAGGAGGAGGAGGAGACTGCAGCCATGTCAGTTTGCTGTGAGCTGGACGGTGTCTGAAAACAAGCCATGGCCATGTCGTTGAGCGCTGATGATGAGGACTACGACTCAGACTCTGAGCAGGTTAGCACACTAAAGCCCTGCAGGCAGGCATAGAGAGGTAACCAGAGGAATGCTTGTTTTCAGACAGAGCAGTGTGTGCAGCATCACAGGGCAGCGAGGAAACGGAGCTGCCTTGAGACAAAAGCATTGATTAAGTCTGCCTTCTGTCCTTAGTCTCTAGTTTTTGTCCAACCTTTTTAAAAAAAAATAGGTTTGCTGTTTGTGTTTAGAAGAGAGAGAGAGGATGCTTGTTGTTTAGTCAGGTAAATCCAGCAATAGAGCACAGGATGTGATTATGTTGTACAGACTCTTTTCTTGTTCAGATTGGTTGTTTTAAGATGCAGGAGATGAAGCTATTGTGGCTGATGGTGAAATAGTTGAACATAAGATAGGAGAGTAAATGACAAGAGGCAATGTAGTCAGTTTGTGCTCTTGAAAAATGAAGGCCAGTTGAACCAATTTTGACTTGTTTCAGGAGTAGATCACCCTCAGGTGGGGTTTGCTTGCACAGGTGTTTTGTGAATTTAACCGTTTCTCTTACTACAGAGCAACCGAACCACACCCCCTCACTGTCTGTATGAAAAACTCTGAGTGCAGATGAGTGAGTCCATCTTGGTCTGCTGTCAAATATCATCAACGGAGGTTTTTCAAGTTGTATTGCAGTGACATTCCTGGAGTCACTGACATGTTCTAATCCTAACGCTAATATGCACAGCAGGCAGAATCACTGGTAAGATGTAGAATTATTGGGCTGTTAAGCCAAACATGGCAGCTGTCCAGCATCAATCTGAGCAACCTGTGTGTGAATTTCCTCACACACAAAAAAAGTGCTTGTACAATGTTGTAGCATTATATTCTTTTTACTTAAATGTTCTAATTTTTTTTATTCTGTATCTTTTTTAAAAACTCTTTGAGCATTTATTTAACTTCTCCTTTTGTCATATTTTTGTCAAGTCAGATATGTCAAAATGAAAAGAAAAGAGTAGTTTTACCAATGTAACCAGAAAGATGTGATAACCACAGGATGAAACGTGGGCTTTTTACCTAAGTGTAGACTTCTGACAGCTTTATTAGTGTTCTAAGCTATTTAATTATGAATATCTTTTTCTTTAATAAAACCGTTTATCATATTTTTCTGCAGCCTGTGCTCACAATGGGCTGATGTCAGTTTGTTTTCATCAACAACATGAGCGCACAACAATGCGTACTGTTCAACAATTTTCATCTGCTGCTCAAAAATGTTCTCAGTGAACTTTGAAGTGTGAAGAAATGAGTTGCTGGTCTTGTGCCATCATTCTTACAAATGCATATGTCAGCTCTTCAGAGACATACGTACTGAAAATGTGACTTCTATATCTCTGGTATCTTTTCTCCTCAACGAGCTTGTAATGGACAGCACGTGTCAGAATGTCCCATTATTTAATTCTGCGCTCCAGTGAGAAATAATCCACAGACAGTGTGTGTGTGTGTGTGTGTGTCTGTGTATATGGGTAGGCATAAGCAATTATCAGTAGTCTTTCTTCTTTTATTATTTTCCTCTTGTACCTGTAGTTAAACTTGCAGGTGCACATTAATGAATGCAGTAAATCACAGAGTGTCTGGATAGATTTTACTTGCCACGATCTGACGTTAGTGGTAACTTGAACCTGTTATCTTACCCAGGAGTAGGTTTCAGATCCGGGTGTAATCGCTTCAGTTTCTTACAGTGGGTTATTTGGTCTCATTTCAGTGTTCCTCCTCTTAATCCCCATCAACACCCCCCAACAGTCCAGCACCAACCCCATCCCCCTCCCCAATATCTAACTCTAATCCTGTCTGCTCACCACAAATCTGACTGTCTGTTTGTGTCTATTTTGAGGCTATTGTTAGAATAAAATATTGTAATATGCCTAAAGACTGAGCCTGCTCACTTTTTCTGTTGGAGGCTCTCATTACAGATCTCATTGGCTACAAGTGTGTGTGTCATGCACTGTTCTGTAAGGGAATGGGATGTGGCTGTTGCTATGCTGACACCAGGAAAATCTGCACTGCCGATGTAACTAAAGAAATCTGATCTTGGTTTCCAAGAGCTGCAGTGTTTTTCACTCCTTCTTGTTTATTTAATCTTGCTCCCTGCCGCTTATTCTCTCTCGTGTGATGGCTGGCAATATTTTGCCATGCGGTTTTAATGGTAAAAACACATTGCTGTTCTGGCTCTGAGCCTGAGTGGAAGCAGTATATGTGATATAGAAAAAAACCGTCATGTTGATCAAAGACATCTCCTCTCCCTGCAAATGAAATAATGCGCACTGTTCTGATTCAGTCTGTCTGTGTGCCTTGTAACACTGAATAATGGGTCTTTGTGATGCATGTGTGAAATGTAGCCATAAGTGTCGCTTCTCTTTGAAGTAGAAACAAGCAAGTGAAGTGCTAAATTTGGAAAGCGCCTTCAGGGACATTTTTGATATTTTTTTTTTCTTAGCTCTTGTTTTCTGTGCAGAAACAGCCATGAATAACGTGTTTATACCGAGCATTTTTTCAACTATTTGGTATTATCAACCCAGAACAGAAAGGCAGTATCCATCCACCAAAATTCTCATTACTGCTGAATTTAACTGAAATTTTTTTTTTCAATGACAATCTGCTTTCTATTAACACCATTATTGAATGAAATGCTGTGTGTTACAGAACAAAACTCTATAAGAGCTTTGTCATTTCTTATAGCAAAAATAGTAAGATGTTAATCATCAACCAGTTATTATCTTTTGATGTGAAGAAGTGTCTGCATACCAAATGTTTTTATGTACAAGTTCAAGTGTAGTTAATATGTAGAAAAAGTAGCCTACAATCAGTCAGACAAGACACTTAATATACCCAATATAAATCTTTTACATTTAGTTGCAAGATGCATGCGTAGCTGGATGAGAGTGAAACATAACCTCTTTCATGTTTAGTTTTTTTTAAATAAATATTGCTGGCCTTATTGTTTTTAAGTACTTGACACCATATCCTCTTTATTCCCTTAAGCCCCGTCCTCCCAACCGGCCGAAACCTAAGATGGCTGCATCTCCTGCATCAGCAGTCAAGCTGTCAGCCAGTCGGGGAACATCTGGTGCCAGGAGGAGGAGGACGCGCTGTCGAAAGTGTGAGGCATGTCTGCGAACGGAGTGCGGAGAGTGCCACTTCTGTAAAGACATGAAAAAGTTTGGTGGGCCAGGGCGAATGAAGCAGTCATGCATCATGAGGCAGTGCATAGCTGTAAGTACGGAATGTTTTTTTTGTCAACATAAGTCTATTCATGTATCTGTGTGTTTCAAATTCCAGAAGACGGGCTTGTTTGATCTTTTGGGTTACTTGGGAAGATTGACAGCAGTTTCATAGAAGCTGAATAGAAAAGTATAGCCAGCAGGTGGCTAATGGATCTTTGCATGAAGACTATAAACAACTGCTGCTGGTCCATCCAGATGTTCTATCTGGAGTTTTTATGATTCAGTACCATGGACAGGGACATAGAGAGACAATATGGCTTATCTACAAAGGGGCGATGGTAAACACTGGACCATGCTGGTAGAGAATTGTGGGGTCGTCCTGGACTCCATTATTTGTGGGACTGTGTTCTCTCACAACTGTGTCAAGTGTTAGTTAAAGGTTGTTATCAGGCTGCGAGTCTTCCACACTTTAAAAACTCTTTTTAAAACAAGATTGGACCCATTGATCTGCACGCAGTACTACACAATATTGAATCGAAAACTGTTTTTTAAGGCTGAGCTGTGATGTATCGGCAGCGGGTCCTTCATCATACGGCTGACCACTAAGCCAGTCAACCCTATGACTGAGATCCAGGGTCTCTTTTGGAAAATCCTTACTGAAGAACACTGATGCAACACATCTCATTGTCAAACACCTGGATGGCAGCATCATTCTGTTGGGGCAGTGAAATAAAAAAAAATTCTTGAGATTCCAGCCGTTATTCTAACAGTAATTCATAGCTTTCAGGGTCAAAACATATTACTTAATTAGCTAAGTAAAGACAGAGAGTAGTGATGTAATACAGCAGCTCCTCTGCTGTGTTTTGTCTTCTTCAGCCTGTTCTGCCTCACACAGCAGTGTGTCTTGTCTGTGGTGAGGCTGGAAAGGAGGACACCGTGGAGGACGAGGAGCAGAAGTTTAACCTGATGCTCATGGAGTGCTCCATATGCAACGAGATCGTCCATCCTAACTGTCTCAAGGTAAATTCCTTCCTGTTATGATCTTTTTAAAGCATAGTCACTGGAACTGCTGAATTGATTTCCCAAACACTGTCTTAACAGTCTGTGTGTGCTTTGTTTGTCCAGGTTAAAGATTCAAATGGATTAGTCAATGACGAATTGCCAAATTGCTGGGAGTGCCCAAAGTGTAACCATGCAGGGAAAACGGGGAAAGTAAGCATCAGTTTGCACTTCACCACACATCCATTAAACACATGAATTTGCTTATTAGCTGACCATTTCTCCACTTCTCTCAGAACCAGAAAAATAAAGTTGTGCTCTCTTTTTTCTAACCTTTTGGCCTCAAAGCAAAAAAGGGGTCCAGGATTTAAGTACGCGTCCAACCTTCCTGGCTCTCTTCTGAAAGAGCCGCGGTTAATCCGGGACCCTAAAGAGGAGCCTGATCCGCCTTTGGTGGCTACAGCAACTGTTACCGCCTTGACTTCCACATCTGCGCTGAAGAGAAAGCCAGAGCGGGAGGCCATCTCCAAAAGAAACGACGAGGAGCCTCCAAAGAAACGTCCACCACTTCTCTCTCTGGATGGACTGCCTCGACCAAGGCTTGAGGACAATCCTCTGAGAAAAAAAAGGAAACTTTTTGACACCAATGATGAACCAGTCATGTTCAAAAAGAAGGTAAGAGGCATTAGAAATATCTCAGGTAATCTTAGTTGGATGAACATTTGTAAAGCAGATTTAAACTTCAGTCCCATTTCAAATGTGGATGATTCTTTTTAGGATGATGGAAATGATAAAAAACATTTTATTTAAAATTTAAGGTGTTAACTTTTTTGTTATTTGCTCTGTGGTCATGCTACTCTTATGTGATCTAACAGTTGTATAAACGGTTAATAAGAATGGCTGTTTGCAGTTTGATAGAGTTGTTTAATTGGTTTACCAGCATCAAAAGTATATGATTAGGCCAAATGTTTTTCTGTCTAAGTGGTATAACTGTCCAGGTAAAGAATACTGCACACTATTTTTAAGTCTGGCTTCTATTCCTTTTCTTTTTTTTTGCAGATAATGAAATTTACATTTTTGTGCTGGTTAGTGTCAACAAAGCATCAGCTCCCAATGTTTTCCAGTGTGGAGGTTGCTTCATCCTGTAGTTATTGTACTGTATTTCTCGTAGTTGCAGAGAAATTTAAGAGTTGACACAGGAGAGATGGTTGAGTCTCTGCTTTGACTTGTTTCACTGTTTAAGGAGGAGCAAAGACTGACAGAGCAGACAAATTTGAATTCTTAGTTTTGCAAATAACTCCATGCCTGCAACATATTCATATTTGTAGAGCTCATTTATTCACGAGGGGACAGCAAGCGCCCTCATAGCTTTTAGTTTACATCTATGGTTTAAAATATAACTTTTATGACTTTTAAGACCATTTATGCATTTTCAAAATCTTGAATGCTTTGGTATTTATTAGGAACATCACAAATGGTAAATTTAGAGACTCAAAATGTGTAAATTCGCAGGAGTGGGGTTTCTCAGCTTGATAGCTTAAATTAGATTAAAATGAATATGTTTAGATGACAACATTTTAAGTTTATTTTCTTGCTCCCCGAACTGTATTCCCTAATCTTCACTAAAATAATCATGATTTCTTTAAATAGATTATGTTCCTTTTACTATTTCTTTAGAAGAAGCTTTCAAAACCGGAGGATCCATTTACTCTGAAGCTGCTGCGGCAAATCAAGACAGAGGTCGATCATGGTGATGAAGATGAAGATCAGGAGGATCACGAAGAAGACAGTTTGTCTTTGGACGGGATGCATTTTAAGGAGAAAAATGAGTATGATGATGAGGCCCAAGAAGAAGAAGCAGAGGAAGAGGAGACGGTACCAAAAGAGAGAGACAGTAGTGCAGAGGACAAAGCTAAGGTGCTCTTAAATCCCCTCAGGCCTTCTGCTGCTAGAGAAAGTGACCATTCGTCCTCCAACTCTCCCAGAGCTGGACCAAGCAGCGAGCCAGGTGACACACAGGAAAGAGGCTCGGCTCAGCTTAAAGCTCGTCATCAGCGCAGACGTCTTCCCAACAAAGAAACCAGCAAAGACTTTAAACTGGAGGTTCCCAAGCCAGAAGACCCTCTGAGCAACCCAAAACAGAGCTCAGTGAAGACAGAGGAGAGCTCCGCCAACCACAATCGCAAACCACTGAAAAACGAAGATTCTCTGAGCAATCAGAACCGCAAACCACTGAAAACCGAGGACCCGTCGACCCATCCGAACCGCAGAGCCCTTAAAATGGAGGAGGGCGTCACGAATCAGAACAGACAGCCGCTGAAGACGGACGACTGTCTGGCTGACCAAAATCACAAGCCGGTGAAACCCGAGCCCGAGAGCGACGGGGAGGAGCACAAGCCCAGGTGGCCCCTGAACAACGGCAGCTGCGACCTGGGCGACTGGCTGCGCCACCGGGGGCGGGAGGTCAACGGGACGCCGCGCGGCTACTCGCCGCTCAGCTGGAGCAGGAACCCTCCCATAACGCCCATATGTCCGCGCCCGCTCCCCCGCCGGTCGCCACCCAAATGCATCCAAATGGAGCGGCACGTGATTCGGCCCCCTCCCATCAGCCCGCCGCCCGACAGCGTCCCCCTGACCGACGGGGAAGCCCACGTGATGCGGCGCGAGATGTGGATGGCGGTGTTCAGCCACCTCACCCACAGAGACCTCTGCGTCTGCATGCGGGTCTGCAGGACCTGGAACAGATGGTGAGAACAAGACGAACGCACAGCGCGCCCTCGGCACCTCAGGGCCCGGCGGCCAACAAAACTTCTCTTCTCTCACCAGGTGCTGTGACAAAAGGCTTTGGAAGCACATCAACCTGAACCGCTGTAAGTCCATCACCCCTCTCATGCTGAGCGGGATCATCCGGAGACAGCCAGTAGCTCTGGATCTCAGCTGGACCAACATTTCCAAGAAACAGCTCAGCTGGCTCATCAACAGACTTCCTGGTAAATAGATCGAATCCAACAAAAACTTACGAAGCACCGACAAAATGCCTTTGTGAGCGTAGAGAAATTCCCGTTTCGGACAGTGGAGGTTTTGTTTCGCGATATTTGAGAATAGACAAGTGTTTGTTTTATATACTGGACTCTACTCTCTAAGATGAAAAATAAGCTTTTACATAAATTGAGTTACTCAAACTTTGTCCTAGCCAAAATTCCAGCCCAGATCTATCAATGGTGCTCAGACCTTTGCGGCACAAATGGGGCAGATACTGTATGTGTTTGTGGGTCAAAGGGAATAAAAAACGTTCACACAAATTTTTAGCTCTTTCGACTAAAGCTCTCACCCTGATTTTGGAGCTCCTTAGTCTAGTTGCTGCTTCAGGTAAAAATGAAAAGGAAAAAAAGATGGCAAAACAAGCAGAGCTGATTTTTGAAAATGCACGTGAGGTGCATTTTGTCGGTTCCTCATGAATGCTGAAAAATAGGATACATGTGTTCATCGTAATAAACCATAAGTATGCTGTCTGTTTAGCCTTGTTGCTGCATACGTTTGCATTAAATAAAATGCGGGTAATGATGAGTTTGTGCTCCTGCAGGTCTGCGTGTGCTGCTTCTGTCTGGATGCTCCTGGGTGGCTGTCTCTGCTCTTTGCACCTCCAGCTGTCCTCTCCTGCGAACGCTGGACGTTCAGTGGGTGGAAGGACTGAAGGACGCCCAAATGAGAGACCTGCTGTCGCCGCCCACAGACAACAGGCCAGGTACAAACACATTATCTGTCTGAGCAGGCCGCCTCAACCCGGCTGAATGGCTGCATAGGCCAGGAAACGTCACACGTCACATGAGAAAAAAGAAGGATATTTATGTTAGTCGGTTGTACCCGAATGGAATTATGTTAATTCCTCCTTCAATTGTTAGATGATAAGGGTCAGACACAGTTATATACCAAATAATATACGCTCCCTCCTTGTCTGACACTCAGTGACACACAGATCTCACCGGTACAGCAAAAAAAAGCCCAATTTTACTAAACAATTGCATTCATCAGCATTTTTAACTGGAACTATTTTTAGTTGTGGGATTAGGCTGTTACTTAAGCTACAGAGTTCTTTATTAGTGTAAGGAAGGAGCATGTCACCCTTCACGATGGTGCGACTGTCCGCTGTGTTTTTAAATCTTCTGTTGAACTCTGTGGCACAGAAATGAGCTCCCACGTCGGAGGCACAGGAAACCGCTGTCAGCAGTTCACGCTTCACTTTGGATTTATCGACAGTGAGGGAAAGTCCTTTGGTCAGACAAACAAACTCCACCGAGCACCTCTTTTTTTTTTTTTGTCCTCCCTCTGTTAATCTTCCTGCCTGTTTTTTGTAGGTCAGTTAGACAACAGGAGTAAGCTGCGTAATGTGGAGGACCTGCGTCTGGCGGGGCTGGACATCACAGACACATCTCTACGGCTCATCATTCGCTACATGCCCGTGTTGTCCAAGCTGGACCTCAGCTACTGCAACCACGTCACTGACCAGTCTGTCAACATCCTGACGGCTGCAGGGACAACCACTAGAGACTCTCTCACAGACATCAACCTGTCAGGTACACGTCTGTGAATCCCACTTTGACTCACTTTGGCCTTTGTGGGAATCAATTATCTGCGGTCAAGCAAAGTATTACCAATGGCTCCAAAATGCACAAACAAGAAATGTTTTAGTGACGTGTTCATTTAGGCACAACTTAATAAAAAGAATGCTGTTTAATGTATTTAAAGGTAAGAGCTGAAACATTGGGATGAGGATTCTGCATATTTTCTTTTGGAAGCTGCAGTTATCAGCCATAAGTCATCAGATATTTGCCCAAATAAATTCCAAACAGCTGACACTTAAAAAAAATCTAACAAAAGTGATGGATGACAGAACAAAAATGTTTAATGCTTGGAGAAAAACAGCTGGAGTATCAAACACCAATGCACACAGATCTTGAGCCAATAATTATTTCTGTATATATTTGTAATTTATTGTTCAAATAATTGGAAATGTTATATGAAATATTTTAAAGGAGCTCTATGAAGGAACAGTATAGTTTCTAACAAGCATGAAAGTCTCTACAAACACCTTGTCTCATGAACCCTCTTAGACAGGATTTTGTGTCCTCGAAGTATTTTTCCGAGATAATCTTGAAGGACAACCCAAAGCCCTTTTTGGGATGTTTGCTGCCTTTTGTCAGATAATCCCAAGCTGCTTGAATAATGCTGAGGTCCAGGTTCTGGGGAGGATTCATCCCTCCCTGCTGCCACTGATTTTCAGTCCACTTCTCGTGTCATTCAGCATAGCTCAGCTCTGTTTCCCTCCTTACAAATGGCTTCTTGACAGCCACTCATCCATGGAGTCCATTTCTGATGAGGGTTCTGTGAATAATAGATGATTCAACTGAGGGAGCAGATGCACCTCTCAGATCAGGTGTTTTTTTTTCTGCCTGACAGGCTGCAAAACATACAGAAGTAAGGGGTGGATCAAGACTATTTCTGAACCCTCTTTGTCAATTTTTTACTTAGATACTGAATGTAAATAATTTAGCCCATTATTTATATTATATCTGAGTGTGTTTCAAAATTGATTTTTTCCTCCAGAGGGCAATAAACACAGAGCATAATGACACATTTGGAGCCACAATTCACTATCGAAACAGATCAAAGGAAAATACTTCCTGGCTCTGTTGTTCAAGTTGCCATATTTATCCCAAAACACAGCTCCCCATAATGAGTCTTTTGGACATATTGTCTTTGGGCAGAGTAATCCATGTGTGCGTATAATTAGTGTAAGTACATGTGACCTGTCATGCATCATTTGCTTTTTCTAACCCGGCTTCTCCCTGCAGTCTGTAACAGGGTCACCGACCAGTCGCTGACCTATTTCAAACGCTGCGGAAGCATTTGTCACATCGACCTGCGATACTGCAAACAGGTGACCAAAGAGGCATGCGACCAGTTCATCGCAGAAATGTCGGTCAGCGTGCAGTTTGAACTTATAGAGGAGAAGCTCCTACAGAAGATAAGTTAAGACGGGGGAACCGCTGGAGCGTCTGACATTCACCAATGAAAAATGAAAAACTACTGTCCACACGGAGGCAGCAGACGACTGTGAGAGAAACACAGAGATGGTAAAAGTCCCTGGAAAAGTAATGCAAGGGAAGGCCGTGCTGCCCTGCCAGAATGTATAAAAAAAAACGGATGTCTTGTGAAGGCAATATCACAGAAATGTTTCGTTGTTGCTCCTGTTTATAAGTTATTTATTCCTAAAACGATTACGTATTGTATCAGTTATTCCTTTGATGTTTATAGACTATTTTCTTTGTTCCAATGCAAAGTTTATTGCATTATAGATCAATATTTTTGTATCAGAAAGTGTTTCATACATTATGTGCAGTATTAAATGCACAGCTGTACAGTATTATAGTGCTGAAATCATAATCAGTTGGCATTACTGTTAAGCTCTTTCTCGTCTAGATGCAAAGCTCTAATATCTTTTTTTGCAAACTATTGGAAGGTAATTGTGTTTTGTTTTTGTTTTTTTAATCTTATTATATGTGGTCGAGCTCTGTTTTCTAAAAGACACAGGTACTGTATACTTTGTTTTCCATACAATGATATCATGTCCCTTTGGATGAGATATCTGGTAAGAATATTTCAAAAGGTTCTTTGCACTGATGCGGTAAATATGAATAGATGAATGTATTCCCATATAGACTAAAGTGTACAGTGTATAAAGCATATTTTTTCACCACTAAAATATTCCGCTAATTTTGCTTATTGCTTGTGTTCTGGTTCAAGTCACATGTGCACATCCCTCCTTTGTACTATCGGTGCTTTGTGGAAGGAAGCGTTTCAGTTTTGCATGCAGCAAAGAAATGTTTACATCGCTTAGTGGATTTGTTAACTGTTCAACAATGTAACATTCTGTTTACTCCAGCCCTTTTTACACATTATTTAAAAAGACTTGTTGCAGAAATCGTGCAAGTCTTTAAGACAAAGAGTTTTCTTCCAGACAGACAAAAATCACCTGTGTCTCTCAGGTATGACAGAAACACAACTGTGACCCCTTTTTTCAGTTTTAATTCCATCTATTCCAAAGATTTCCTGCAGTTCAACACTGTGGTGGAATCACTATCAGGAGATGAGGGGTTTGTATGAAACGCATCGAAAAAACCTTTTCTAGCAAAATTCTTAAAAGATCTTTAGATGTCAGGCCCTTTCCACAATACAACAGAAGACTAAAACCACCATAAAAAAACAGTTTTTCCTTTTTTAACATGGAGAAGAGGCGGGTTATTCCAGCAACCAATGGATCAATCATATTTGTGAAAATGATAAATCTGTTTGAATAGACTCCACTGAAAAAGATGAGTGTTAACACTGGCTGTGTTAAGTTTTGAAATGTTTTTTGGGTTAAACCTCTTAGGAGATGTTTTAATTTTTTAATAGGTTTTCCATGTTTTTTTGCTCTTTATAACTGAAGTTTTATTATTTTTTTATTTTTGAAAAAGTTTTTTTCGGCTAACTTTAGTCCATTTTCTACATTTTAGTGGGATTGCTTACTTAAAAAATTAATGTTTTTATGAAAAGACCTTGTCTCCCAGAAAAAGCTTAGTACTTTACTTCAGATCTATCTATCTGTACATATTGTACATGTAAAGCCTCTAGGAAAAGTCAACCTTTGAGATATTAAATCCATTTAAATACCAAGATGTGTGGGTGTGTGTTTGGAAATGTTTACCGATTTGTTTTTAAAGTCAAATTCTGCATGTCTGCTGTTTTATTTTTTTAGTTGCAAATGAAATATATAGCACCACATAGAAAATGAAGAGCAAACTTTTACTTTCTGGTTTGTAATATTGCATTTTATTGGATCTAATAAATCATTTTCACCTGTTAATCAAAATAAAAATGTTCAACATTCAAAATTTAAAGATCCAGACCTATGAGTGCTCATGTTATCCTCCCACTCCGATTATACCGTAGCTGCCCATGAAAGACATCTCTATCTGTAACAGATATGCATTGCAAATGTTAGTTCAGAATCTGAGGCAGACAACAAAAAAACGTGCTAGAAACCAAGACTGTGACACAGTTTAATGGTGAGACGCTCAAACCCATCCGGCCCAAACCAGCAGGAATACATTCTGAAAAACTGTACAGTTTTATTTTCAAACCTTAGTAGAACTTTAAATCATGTGTCTCCCAAGTAAATGGAAAAATATACATTTAATAACTTATCAGTAAACAACGGTAGAAGCTATAAATGAGATTTTCTGGAAAGAAACTCCACTGCAGTTTTCTTTTTTTTTTAACATACACCAGGCATACAGAACACAGATCTTTTTTTTGTGACTTCTGAGTTTACTGGATTTCATGACATGGACAAAAGTGTTTTGTTTGCATAACAGTTTAAAGTAAATATGCTACTTCTGCCTCTCACTGTGTGACGGACATGTAGAGGGTAGCCTCAGAAAAAAAACAATGCTGATGTTAGACTCAGAAATGAGGGAGTAGCACCTGTTACCTACCTTAGATCTGGCATTAAATGAAAGCACAATCAAACAAGTGGTAGACTTTGAAATAAGATGGTATTGCTTGGTGAGAACAAAATCAAAGATAAGATTAACCCAAGGTCCACCTTACTGAAGCTTTCAGCTGCATTTCACTTGATGCTTTTCAAAGATGCACTTCAGGATGATACATTTTAAAAAGTGCTCCCACAACTTTGACCCCAGGGTGTCAGTCTCAGATCATGTGATCCATTGTGGTACAAAGGTTTAAAAAGAAGCTGATCAGTGGGCCCTCGGTTAACTTTTTCTGCTCATCTTACAATGATAGGAATGTATATCAACAAAGTTTAAACTATAAAATGGAGAAACAAGCACATCCTTCACACAGTAAGCGTTAAAAAACATGTTAACGTGTAGACAGTTTATTTGCTAACGTCAATTAAAAGAAAACAAGGAAATGGAAATTAAGCATAAACCATCACACAAAGCTTGCTGGTTACGAGGTGCATGTGAGATTTGAACAGAATATCCACTGAAGGCATGATTTTTGGCCCCCTCCACACCCCTGTCTGTGACGCAATGATTCAGTGCATGTGGTGTTCGGACTGACAAATAGATATATTTCTAAAAACATTTTTTCTTCATCTCTGATATTGCACATCATAAAGAACACTGAAGGACAGAACACAGTGTCATGAGGCATGACCGTGTAAACCATATTGACTCTAACCCTGGGATCTCCTAGATTTCACCACAAACAACCGGCCGACCCTCCCCGGGTGTCCACAGGACCGCCTCCTCCTGTCTCTCGTGCCCAGAATCTAAAACGGAGAATGGAGAGTCGATTGGGCAGCGGTTTCCGTGGTGCATCTAACAGACCGATGACGGGAAGAGTGATGATGTCAACCAGGGAGGAGCGTTGGGACTGGAGTTAGTGAGGGGGGGGCGGGGGGGGGGAAGGGGGGGGGGGGGGGGGGGGGGGAAGGGGGGGGGGGGGTCAAATCGGGGTAGGCCAGAGACAACAGTCTGGTTTTAAAGACCGGGAAGTGTCTCCCGCCCGCTGCAGCATTAGGTCCTGTGAGACGTCGTGAACGGCGGTCTATCCTCAGTAAAGTCAGGGCTGGAGCCACGTGCGCGCGCCTGAGGGCCGCTCTGACGCACAGGCAGAGTTTTAAGACTTGAAGACATGCACGGCCCGCACGACGTACTGCCTGCAGATGGGGCACTCGCTCATCCTCTTCCCACATTTGGTACAGGTGACCATGTGACCACACTCCAGTAACACACAGTCGATGATGGCATCCATGCAGATGCGACAAAGGTTTTCATCGGCTGCCAGCTGAGCTTTGACGCCATCTGTTAATGGGAGGTAAAAAAAAATATGTACGTGTAAATAAAGACGGTCGACAACTGTTCCCTGGAATTATTGTCAGATATGAGGTGATGTCCAAAGGCTGACCCATCTGCTGACTCCACCAACATTATTTTGTCTTCCTAATTTCTTTCTCTTTTGTCCTGTTCCAGTTCTGTTTTATCATTACTATTTGAACATTTTTGGGCATCAACTTTAGTTTTTTGCAAATTCCTACTCCCTTTTTTTTCCGGTTGCAATTATTTTTTCCGAATGCAGATAACCTGCAATTTCATTTTCTGGATGTCACTAACTCTTGCCTACTACCCTCTTTCTGCGTGTATACAAAGCTGTTCTCACTTAATTGACATGTTTTCCTCTTTTATTTGTCTTCTTATTTATTGACTGCTATTTTAAGATGGACACCAAGTTAGAAACTGTAAAAGAAAAACTATCAGCGGCCCAATCCCAGCTTTTGGGGGTAGAGCCACCGTCAAATCAAAACAGTTTAAGATCAAGTTGTGCCAGGGCAACGGCTTATAGGAGTTAAACGTTGACTGATCAGCCAACTGGCTTAAATCTGGCTCCCGCCGCTCACGTCTTGTGTGACAGGAAAGGCAGAAGAAAAAAAAGGAATCAATCCAGCTGCAGCCCGTCTCCCCTCTCTGTGCAGCTGAATGCTAAGTGGGCTAATAAGATCCCGGAGCCCTTTATGTCAGCGAGGAAGCTTGACAATGTAATTAAACCTGATGGAGACATGCTGCCACTGAAGTTATATGATGGTTCATCAGGAGGTTAAAGCCTTAATTGAACGCATTAATGGCAGAATGAGAAGCTGTCTCTCAGAATTAAATGAGATGGAGCACACTGGAAAAGACACACAAGTGACAGAATTTGGAGAAACTGAATGAACGCAGAAAATAAGAGCAAAAGCGTGATTGGTACGCAATAGAACGGACAGCGTCAAGTGGGTAAAGGAATGATTGCAGCATGCTGTGGCTGTTTTTTTCTGGAGGATGAGAGCAGTACACAGCAAGTGGGGTGTTTATGGAGGACACACAAAGGTTGTTCTTAGATTTACATCTTACCTCCAACTCCACTGTTGCAGAGAGGCGGAGGATATGCAACCACTTTATAGATGAGAATGGGCAGTAATAAAGAAAATCTATTAGACTCGGCAAGGGTGAATTTGCCCTTTAGAGTAAAAGAATGGTTAGGAAGCAGATAATACTATATTGTTAACATGAGAGGCCTCTTGATATTAAGTAAGCCTGCCGTATCATTAATATCCAAGAAAATGTCATTTCTCAAAAGGAGGTTCATAAAAGCAATTACCTGCTGTTATGCTCACGTTTTCCACTAAAAGCAAAACATAGTAAAATGATTGTTAGTCATGCCTCACAACAAATATCACAGCATGGAGTTGAGATGCCAGAGAAATAAGACCGAAGGGGCTCACTGGATTTCCTGTTCAGCTCGTTTTCTCTGTAGAGTCGATGAACTCGCTCCAGCAGCTCCCACTTCTCGCAGCAGCCGGAGTAATTCACAAAGTTCCTGGCGAGAATCTCTTTCAGCTGGCGGACGGAGAGGTTCTCTATCGCCTCTTCATTGTCGAGATCAGACAGCGAGGCTCTGATCCTCCTCTGTGTCGCCGGGCTGACCTACAATCCACACAGGGGCAGAGCTGTGATCACACTGGGCCTGAGCTCGCTAAGGCCTCTGAGATAGAGATCTACCGGCTCACAGAAACAAGCAGCACACCTCTAAGATGCTTTCAGCCGGCTCCAGGTTCAAAAGGGATGCTGTGGGCGTGCCTTCATGCTCCTGTGAGAGGAAATCAACACAGTGAGTTAAAATTCAGCTTTCAAAAAGCGTTCTGCAGTTTGTGGAATTGCTCGCAGCTTTTTCGGCATAATCTCTGGTTTGATGACGCAGGAGGCCCAGGAGGGCTCGGGGATAAACGGGCAAAAGAGAAAAATCACGCTGCAGTGTTACCGATCTCACGCTTTCGATGTGAAACACTCGCTGTTAGTTTGTCTTGCGCTCTCGCTCCGCCAAAACTAATCTCACGCCAAATAACAGCAAAGCCGGGAGCCCGTCCTTGAAGAAAAAAGGACAGTTGTGTGGGTTCAATTTAGCTTCTCTGCAAACAGGACTGTAATTGGACATCAATCCATTTCCAAATTTCAGCGTAAGTCAATAAACATCACACAAAGCACAGAAAGGACCAAATATGGGCGCAAAAGCTCTCTCTGTCTGGCACCTTTCGGGCACGGAGTTTTATCTCATTCTCGTCGCTCTACAATTTCACATCACATCAAACACTTCTGCTGGCGTGGAGATGGAGCTGTTTACAGCTGCCACTGGAAGGCTGAACGCTGCAGCCTGTGCCCCAGCCAGGTGGGTGAATCCCACCTGGGATGAAGAACATGGAAGATGCCAATCAGTCATGAAATTTTATGGAAACGAGGATGAACATTACACACGGCTGATTTTTATAAGATGGACAGCTTCGTAGTCCTTTGGACAGAAAGAGAGAGAGAGGAGGGATATTAAGGAAAAGTCGCAGCCTGGGGCTCATGATATTTCACATCGGCCTTGAAGAGCTTGAATGTCATTGATGTCCGACCGAAGTGCCACCGGCAAAGCTCTAATCAGCCGAAAAACATTCTGAACCAACGCTTCTGTCGGCTTGTCACCTCCCATTCTGACTGATCTAATGCTGATCTAATTTCAACCCGACTTAACCACAATGCTAAACAACAACATGAAGAGAAATCAGTCTGGTCTCGATATTTTTTGCTGACATCTCTGGACTCTTAACAGTTTTTGGCTATAGTAAGCAAAAAAACAAAAAAAAGTCAATGCTGTATCAATCCTTCTTTCAATTTCATTGAGCTGTGGTTAAAAGGTGAGGGTGGATACCTGGATAATTGAGTAATATAAAAAAAGGTGATTTTTTTGTACGTACAGCTAAGAACTTCCTCTTTAATCTCTTCGTAAAACAGAGCTTTTGATATCTGAAATGACAGAATTTTGCGCATCACCTCAGCGGCATTACACAAATTCGCTGCGTCTCTCCGTCCTCTCCCTCCACTAAAGATGTGTTAATAATGCATGGGTTAGCACCCCGGCACCTGCTGACATGAAGCCTGCTGTCGCACAGACATCGTGTTTGTGTTCAGACGAGACTCCTCAGAGACACAAACAAACGCAGCAGCGGTGACTCGTCTGCAACAGCCAAAGCTCTCCGGAACACAATGTTTCTTTGACTTTACGTTAGTTTTTGTTCCCTGCAAGCGTACCAAATTTACTAGAAAGCGTTTGTTTGAGGTGCAAAGCTGGAAGTCAAGTGAGCTATAAAGCTCCACTGGCAGAAGTTACACATTGAGATGTTCTATTCTTTCCAGTTTACCATAAAATATTGAAAATACTGACATATGAAGAAAAGGTGAGAATTTTCATTGCCTAATTGCAGAAGACACTTATTTAGGGTGATTCATATGAGGCTTGGGTGAATGGTTAAGGAATTACAGCCGAATATTTCTTCCAGAGTTGAGTTTTAGAGTGAAACGTGGAGAGCAACATTAGTTTTTTAGTACAGATTTTATACTGGATTGAGCCATTCCTGATTCAGCGGCCATAAATGGAAGTTTTAAAAGTTCAAAGTTTGTATGACAACAAAATACTAAAGAAAAAAGGAAAATCTAATTGTTCAAGGAAAGATTACATTTTTAGAATTAGTTTCCAGTGAAACTAAATCTATACGTCCAGTAATGCATCGTGTCAACATTTAAGAGAGCAGCAGTAATTTTGAATGGTTTAAGAAAAGATTAATCATAATTGTTTACTACCAATTTTCCATTGCTTGCATTAACAACTGAATCTACAAAAAAACTGCTTGTTTATCCATACAAAGATCTCAAAAAGACTGATGCACTGTAGCATTTCTATTCTCTGGTCGCAGCTGTGTTGCTGTGGGGAGTTTTTCAACTTGTGCTCCAGTTACATAACGGACTCAGCCTATGTAACCGGCCTAAAAAAAGGCAAAGGGGCTTAGGCTGCCTGGCTGGCAGGTCCACAAGATTCTACGTCCACACACGGCCCTGACACAGCTGTTTGCAGCTGTCACATGGATGTTGTGCTGAACGCTGAAAAAAGCCACAGACATGTAGAGGATTTCCCGGCTTCATTCATGACTGAGGCTGAGCGGGGAGCTTAGCGGCGGCACGCCGAGAGAGAGTCGTGAGTGTGAGGGCGTCACCTCTGCTCGACTTCAAACGGCCGCCATCGAGATGAATTATTTGGGACGGACCGAGCGCAGATGTGGAGGACGGGGCGGCGTATGTGTGCACAGACCTGGCTGGTGGTCCCTGAGCTGCCGCTGGGGCTGAGCGCGTCTCCCTGAGAGGCGGACAGCGCCGACTGTTCGGAGGCGGAGCGCGTGGCGCAGGGCGGCGAGGCGGCGCGCGAGTGCGGGAGAGAGTGCAGGCTGTCTGAGTCGTGTGCCCCTTCATCTTCGTCCTCGTGCGTGTCCTCCTCCTCCTCCTCCTCTTCTTCCTCCTCCTCTTCTTCCTCCTCCTCCTCCTCCTCGTCCTCCTCCTCCTCCTCCAGCACGGGCCGGGGGGGCTCCCGCGTGCCCCGGTGGCACAGCACCAGGTCCACCAGGTCCTCCTTCTCCCGGCAGGTGTCGGTGGGGATGTTGCGCAGCAGCAGGTACTGGCGCAGGTCCTTGACCCGCAGCTGCATGAGGCGCGGGCGCTGGAAGGCCGTGCCGCGCAGCAGGTGGCAGGTGGCGCAGCAGCGCAGGTCCTCCTGCAGCACCGAGCACAGCGCGCAGAAGCTCTTCTTACAGTCGCAGCAGATGTGCTGCGGGAAGACAGACGGATGTGATCAGCTATTCGTTCTCTGCTCAATGAATTAAACAGAAGTCATTTCCACCCCCAAAATTAGTCAGTTTTCACTTTTCTAACTTGGTTCCATGGTTACAGAATTATCAAGCTGAATCTTACTTTTGATGAATAAATGAACAATCATTTGGAAGAGTAATGGTATGACATATGACAGATGCACTGGAAATAGAACTTGAGGTATTTCGACCAATAATCTCTCCAGCTGTGAGGTTTTACGTATCAGAACATCCAGAAATTGAAAAGAAAAAATATCACAAGGTACCAACTCCTAAAATTAGGTAGATACAACCTAAAATGGACAGGAACACATAAAATATTACAGAGTTATAATTAATTCAACAGAAATTAAGCCAGCGTGCAGACATGGTGTGTTGAAGATCCCCCCTATGATTTAGAAGCTTGTGGAACCACCTTTAGCTGCAATAACCTGCAGTAATTATTTTCTGTTAGACGTTATCAGTCTCAGATCACTTTGGAGGACTTTTGGTCCTCTCCTTTCTCTGATGTTTTTTCAGAACATCGAGGCTAAGGTGCATTAATTTCCGTGTTACTATATTTAGCTCTTTTCACCACATTTCTCTGCGGGTTGAAGTTAGGACTTGAACCGGATCATTGTGAAACACCGGCCATTTTCTTTTGTTTAGTTTTTTTTGCATCATTGCTGTGATGCCAGATATAATTTCACCCCATATTTGATGTCAATATTTTAGTAGACAAAAGATTTGATTTGGGACTCAAAGACTGTAAGTCCAGGTCCAAACAAGTCCTACTTGTTTAGTCTTTTTCTAACTGTTAGTCCTGAACTTTAACATTCGCCATGCTAACTGAAGCCGTTTTTAAAAATACATTTTTGGAGGCAAGATCTGACCTTGAGGGGAACTAGTCCCATTTTTGGGATGATTTCTATCCATCTGGAATGTTTCCCCAGTGTGAATAATCATTCCATCTGTTGACTGTGCAGCTACGCTTTGCTGCCCATCAAGATTATTGCTGACGCTACTCCTCTTTGCATGGTGATAACACCAATCTGAACACTCAAATCTAACAAAAGGACAAAATATTTTCTTGTTTAGATGTGCTCGTGCTCACTGATGATCACCTAAAGCATTTGATGTGCAGCACCTGACAGACACTTCTACAGATACTCAATAAATCCTATGGAAGCATTAAGCGTGTACTAAGTTTTCATTCCATTTTGGTATTTTGTTCAATAACTGATGTCAGCATGTAACATCACATGTGTTGCTGAACATCTGAGGTTGCATTTACCCATTACTAAGACTTAGTATCCATTTTAAATCCCAATTCAAACCTCAGCAATTAATTGGAGTGTACTGCTTAGAACCTTGATTACATTAAATGATGGAAAGTTTTTGCTGAATGTTTTTCTATGAGCCATCCAACTCTGAGCGAGTTTCTACACAAAGAGAATCCTTGTAAACAGTCAACAGACACTTCCTCTTTAAACCATGTCCAGTCGTCTCCAGGAGAGCGTGAAGAAAAGAGGAATAAACAGTCTGTGGCTCCTGGTGATGTTTGGCATTTGACTGGCTTAACACTGGCACAGGCCGGCTCGGTAGATTGACACTTCAAATGGGCAGGAAAGCAGGTCGGTCACGGCAGTAAATATTTCCTTATCACAAGCACACAACTGTGCTCCAGATCCATCAGGAGCACGTTTCCAGCGGACAACCGATGCTTTTCTTCCTAATCAGTTGATGTTAATCCCCTACAGGCTTTTTTACATATTAGGAAAACATTGCGCTGACACTCAAATGGCAGGCGACCTGCCATCTGAAATGGTGTGTGGATGATAAAAGGCCATTCTGAAGCAGGGAGAGCTTAAGGAGATGGAGAAGGGCAGAGTTTTCATCGGTTCGTCTGACAGCCCGACAGATCTGCCATTAAACTTTGAGCTGAGCCGAAACCCTGGAAATGTTACTACAGAGCAAAAGCGGGATAGTAAAGTGTAGTAAAGTGAGAATAAATATGTTGAAAGGGAATGGTTGTCTGAAAGCCCCATTTTCATATTTCAATAGAACCCTGAAATCTGTGTTTTTTCTTACTCGTTTGTACACCTCCCCAAAGGAGAAAAAAAGGCTAAATGATCAGTGCAAACATTTTGATCTATTCTATTCACCATTTCTTATTTAAGAAATACAGATATAATGGATCTGAAAAATATAGGTATTAAAAACAAAACAATTGGCGTCACTGTTACAGAAAAAGGGAAGAGTTTCCTTAAAAGATGTGTGCTGTTCATCATAATTACTACGTTCCCAAACAGTCAAAGCATCACAGCTACTTTTCTGAATAAATGATGAATGAGTTCTTCCCACATTAACTACACTGAGAATAACACTGTTCTAAAAAATAAAAAAACTATCCACACAGTGTGTGGGCACACACAGAGGGATGTACCTCTTTCGATTCTTACTTCTAAGAAACTCTGCCTTTCTGTTCATTAATCTCAATAATTCCACTCAGTTAACTTGACTTGCTTCAATATTTTTTTTTTTTTGCAAAAGTTTTTGCAACTTTTTTTTAAAAGTAACTCTTAAATAAGACTTTCAACTGTGCAGATGACTCGCAAGATACTTTTTTTGTAAATTCATTTTAACTGACATTTTGCTTAATTCCTTAAATGTAAATGAAAGCGTACAAATTCTGACAAAGAACTGAAAGAGGTCTCTAGCGGTCTCTGCAGGTATTATAACTGTAATAATAACAAAAGTCGGTGTATCTGGGACGACAACAGACTCCTTGGAATCAGAGATTTGAATGAATGCTCGTCGCGTGACATTTGCATTTCCAGGATTCTCCCAACTTTCAAATTTTCTTGCCCGTCCCTTAACCTTTGCGGAGGCCTCCACCTCTTTCAGTTTCCATCGGTCTCATGGGGTGTTTACCTTGCGTCTGAAGACAGAGAAAGCCAGCCCACAGGCCTTGCACAGCTGTCCGGCGCCCCCTGAGCTGGTGGGGGGGTAGGTGGAGTACCCTGCGCTGGGCGCGAAGCGGAAGGGCCCCGCCCCCGCTCCGAACCCCGGCTGCTGCGCCCGCACCGTCCCCGTGCCCATCACCTCGTTCAGCAGCCCGCAGCATGACGCCCACATGGACGATGCCCCCGCCTGTGGAGAGCACACACACACACACACACACACACACACACACACGATCATCAATTCACACCCATACGACCGACACACTTAATGTTTCCTTTTTCAAATGTCAATAAACGGTGATCTCACAGGCGTGATAATCCACACCGGTGTTTCATATCTGCATCACGCACTGCAGATGTACATTCTACTTCAGTTTAGTCCAGATCTTTGTTGAGTCCAATTCATGTTTGCACAACATCACATTACAGTCCACAGTCTGACGTCTGTGTGGCTTCACGGCTGAACGTTTTTCACATGTATTTTTTTTTGCCTCATACAAATGTAAAGTATAACTAACATTCAAATCTATCTTTTGGAGTTTACATTACGGCTCAGCATAAACCCCATCACTAGACTCCTTATCAACTTTGACAGTTTGATTTAGAAAATGAATTATTACACTGGAAAAAGTCTTCTTGGGAGTTTGCATTTGGCAGCACCACTATAGTTTTTATCACTCACTCTCATACTAGCTCATTTGCTTCCATTCTTGTTTGGGGGTTTTCTAGACCATCCTCATATTAATGACATATGGACTGTGGAGGCCATGTTGAGATTTTGTGGGTGTTCATGATCTTCATTTTGATGATATCACAACATCATTTTCCTCATCTTCATATCACAGACATTCAACTGATAGGCCACAGTCTGCAACACAAGGCCTGATCAACCCATCTTTATGCAGCTGAACAGGGGATCTTTCCATCAAAAATTGGGAGATACTCTTTCCAAATACAGCTTTGGTTGTTGCAAAAAAAAAGAGGTCAGAATTCTAATTCTCAAATGGATTCAGACAGTGTCACAGCTGGGACAGAAAGTGATCCTCCAATCACTTTTCCCCCCTTAAAACTGGCTAGCCTGTAAATTCCTCCCCAAAGGTTAATAAGATATTGACATGCATCAATCTGTAATAAGCCATCGGGATTAAATGTGATGGATATAACATATAAAATTACATCCAGCTGCATCACCATTACAAAAGTTATCTAAAACTTAAATTCATCCAGCAATATCCCCAGTAGTAATAATCCTACATCGTGAGCAAAGTTTTGGGGGCATAATTGGGCAACAGTTGCATGACGGGAAGTGGAAAATATGCTTTTTTTTTTTTTTTTAAAGCTGGCCCATACAAGGGATTAAAAGTCAAAGACATTTCAGGCTGCTGCAGAGCCAGCGAGCAAAGATGGTACGATGGGAGCCACGGTTCCTTGGAGCATACTGATGAGAGGAGAGGAAGAGGGAGGGGGAGGGCGGGGGGTGGAGAATACATCTTCTGTTGTTCCCCGGCCTGCAGAATCAATAGCTGACATGAGCATAATGTAAGCTTTATGTGGTTCCCGGCTCTATGGAAGAAAAACAATAGCATCCTGGATCCTGCCACATCCTCCTGTTAAGGCAGCACTCTACTCCAACTCGTCATAAACACCCTGATCTGACCTCACCCATCTGCTTAGGGATCCGTTGCGTAACCTTAGGAACGAGGCACTATTTGTGGAGTCAGGTCTGCCCTCGGTGCAGTGAGACGCTCAGGACAGTCGGAAACGTCATGTCCAAGCCTTCGCTTGTCCGCCTGCCCCCATCTATCCACAGACCATTAAAATTGATTGTTTTTTTTGTTCATATTTCGTGATGCTACTAAATTCGCATCACGAAATTCCTTCACTATAGTCCGGCTGACTGAACACATGTTCGGTTGAGTCAGCGGCGAGGACAGAACGCTGTGGCCTTAACAGCTTTCAAAGTGAAAATAGAAAAAGAAATTCCCATAAAACTGACAAAAGCACTCTATGTGCGAAGCAGAGAAACGCCGGATGCTGTGATGTTTACCACTTGCAATTAAGAGCATTAATCAGATCTGTCAATCTGCTGATTCAGCACTAATGTTCCGTAGACTCTGAATATCGTGCATCTTGTCCTGAACCGAGTGTTTCCTCGGCAGCTGACTTTATCAGGAGACAGTCATCCAGCTGTCCGTGAGCATCAAAACCGGGATGCAGGAGTACTAGCATTACTTGCCTGTGGCATTAATTTGACCCCATGTTTTGCTCCCTGGTTAGATACAGCCTCCCTCATCAGGGAGCGAAACCACTTAAAAGGAGTATTTATTGCATTCCCCAAGATGTGGAGCCAAAGCCGTCTGGCCATGAAATAAATATATAAATGGGCAAAATAAATAAAAAAATTGGTTCCTGGCTTTCAGCCAGCAGCTCGACTTCCCTCTATCGCTTCCATTAGCATGCAGAGAGCTTTGCAGGCAGGGAGTCCCAAACAAACTACAGACAAGTGATGTTTTTACCTGAGCTGTAAACCTCGGGGATTAAAATCTTAATGTTTTGTCATTACCACCACCTTTGGACACATTGAAAGACAAATCCTGGCAAATAAATGACATATTATTCAGACTGGTGCTGGAATACAACTGCCAGACAATCCAGTCCAATATATATACACACACACACATACACACACACACACACACAAACCACTGAGGAGGGGGAGCAGCAAATATGGACAGAAATAGAAAAACCCACAGGGGAAAGGCTGTGGATGAACAGCTATCCAACCTCATGAAATGAGCTTTTGGAGATCAAAACTCAAACCTAAACTGGCATCAAGGAACCTAAATCAGTTTTATTTGGGTCACTGACAGACTGACACAGAGCAGTGTGTTTAAATTACCGTACACTGTCAGAATACAGTGGATAAGACTTTTATCTTTCCTTTGAACTGCACCAGATGACTTATAGGATGTTTTGTACAAATAAAGATTCCCTTGACGAGGTCACCTTCCACTGACCAAGAGACAACTCAAAAATATAAAGCATTATCTGATCACAGTTTTACTGGTACTTATTTTAAAGGGGTACTTAGGAAACTTTAATATAAACGCGTCAGCTAAACCAATGCTTTAGGAAACAGCGGGGGTCAGATTACATGTAAATCGGACTTCATCTGCTTGTTAGCAGTGGTAATACTGTGTTCACTGGGGAGGTTCTGTATGATGTACACTTAAAAAAAATTGATACAATTAATAATAGAAGGCTAGCTCCATTATACTTCCTATAATTGCCTTGTGTCACACTCATATAAAAACAACCTCTTAGAACTAGTTTTGTCTTTTTCCATAGTTTTTTGTAGGAAACATTGTTTCAATAATTCAATAAGATTTACTGTAGCGTATAAGTCTTAAAAATGGGATAGTCTGTTATTTGTCTTTTATTTTGTGGTAAAATGCACCCACAGTTTGCAGAACAGTATGATGCAAACATCCTCTTTGAGCTGGCTCAATATCTCCTTGCACTGTTTGCAACTGTGCTACATAAAATTACCACAATTACTGTGTGATTTCTTTGTGCCTGAACATGTTTCTATATTCAGGTGACACAGTGATGTCGGGCTCAGCAGTGTTGCCTCACACATAGCAAGATGGTTCCTGGTTTTTAAGCTAAGCTTTTCTGGATGGAGTTTGCATGGCTCCCAGAGTACTGCCTTTCGTTAAGAAAACCTCTATTTGATGAGATGAATAAACTTTGCAGAAATGCAGGTGCTCTGTGAACAACAAGTGAAAGCAAAACGAGCCAAAAACTATTTCTATTTTTAGATCTACGATCAAGTTCACACTTCTCTCTCCCTGTTCCGTATCACTTGTTACAAATTAAAAATGCAACAAAAAAGTGGTTTCATTAAACTGACGGGCTCATCATAGTCTGTAAGTCCACATCAATGCCCCTGAATGGTTTTTGTGGATATGATCTTAAATGTGACATCTAAATCTGCTAACGTTATCACTGCATCCATGTTTGGAATGTGGACACAGCGCTCACCAACTCTTTTACATACTCAGAAATGTATAAAGTAGGTGAAAAGTTCAGGCTGAATGAACTGGCAGCAGATAAGGAGCATTGTGGGTAATGTGGCTGCAGGGGCTTGGCAAAGAAGCCGTATACATTAATGAAAAAGGCATTCATAAACCTGCTGAGTCTGCCAATGTTACAGGAACACGACGGTAAATCAATTAAGTTGTAAGATGAGAGCAGGGAGAATAAATCTGCCAGACTCTGAGAGCAGACACATTTCTATACATTAAGCTCAGACCAAGTCTTAGGGATGTAGCATCAGTACTGTACACAGATATCTGTTCAAAACATAGGCTGATGTTTCCTTAATGGACTGTGTACCTTCTGAAATTCTAACCAGATGACCTCCATCATTAACATATCGTCTTTTTACATTTTTTTTTTATCTTCTTGCATCAGCTGGGAGCACCACTCAGTCTTCAGGCTGGAATTTAGCAGGTCAAAAGGCAGAAAGAAAAAAAACATGCATTCAATCTGCTTCCTGTAGTATGTTTTAATATTACAAACATGACCCAAATAGATCAAGTGGTGGTGGACCTGCTACAGTCCGTTCTGGCAAATATGCAAATAAAATTCAAGCTGCCAGCAGCAGAGTTTAGATTGCTTTCCATGAAATATCCGTTTTCCACAATTGGGTCCAAAGGCAGAGGAGGTGTCAGCCTTTGGGGCAGCGGCTGAAATATTTTACAACCATCACCACAAATGTTCTGTGCCCCCTGGATGCTCTCCTTAGCTCCAGACCTGGTGCTCTGCTTCTCAATTCAGCCCTGAAGTGGCTTTGGTCTCATTTATGGGAAACAAAGTACTCCATGACATTCTCTTTGTGCAAATTCCCAAATGATGAAAGTAAACGTTCCGCCTGAGTTCAGAGCATAAATGCAACTCAAACAAGGGTGCAGGAGGAATGGGGATCTATCCGTGTCTAACCCTGATCGAAATACTGTGCAGCAGTCTTTGCTGTTCTGAGATGTCTGCTTCCAGAGCGAACGGCGTCCCCTCAACAGGGGCAGAAAAGCTGCTTTTCAATTTAAGCCAGATTAGTCAATAAAACATCACAGGCATTTTGCTTCCCCGGGACACTGCGAGTTATGGTGTGCCTTGGGAAAATTAACTTCACAGAGTTAAGCCCTGCGCACGCTTATCTTTAACATTATTTTGATTAACAAGTAATAAGTCTCAAAAAGTCCTTAAAAAAAGAATCATTCACTGAGATGGAAAGATTGGGTGGTTCTGTCAGTTCAGTGCGTTTGTGCCTATTGTGTAGGAGGGAGGTTGTGTCTGAGCCTGTTTAACTGTTATTGTAACTCTGAGGCTCCATTCAACGACTCCATGTTGATTCCCAAACAACATTTGAGTGTGTAGCTCACATCAAAAACATTTGCCCATTAAGACTATTCAACAAATATTTTTGTTTTAACCCTAGTTACCTACATTTTAGAGAGACCACCTTTTTTTGTTTCCCCCCCCCAAAGGAATAATGGTACCCAGTAGCAGTAGGTACCTCTGGAGGCCCTCTTCTTCACTGGAGGAGTGAAGAATGAGTTTTTTTTCCTTAATTCTGCCGACTAAAAGAACTAAGGAGTTTGCTCAAACTGTCCTGTGGGCTTTTTGAAAAGCCAAACATAAGAGCAGCATTTTAAAGCAGTGTTTTTCAACCTTTTTTGAGCGAAGGTACAGTTTTTCATTGAAAAAATCTCGAGGCACACCACCAACCAAAAATATTAAACAAATCTGTAGCCGCCTATAGTAACACTATAGTTATTCTTATTTTATTCTTATCTTACCTTAAGTGTCATGAATAGGAATCAAATAAACACAAAAATGTATTTTCATCTTATTTTATATTTCTTCTTTCAAATTGCACTTAACATGTCCACTTCAATATGCAAAATTAAATACAAAATCTAGTCATAAGGAATTATTACATGATTACGCCACCAGTCACTAGAACAGCACAGACACTCAAAAATGGCATATTTTTTGCAGAAAATTAATTCCTTATCGAAATTTTTTTTTAGACCAATTAGGTGAAATAGGATGATTTTCTACGGCACACCTGATGATCACTCGCGGCACACTAGTGTGCCGAGGCACAGTGGTTGAAAAACACTGTTTTAAAGCATGCATTAGTTGCATTAGTTTAATGCGATTAGTGAGAGGAACTGAACAAAAGAAGCCAAATTAATGACACAGATAAAAATCACAGACATACTTCAATTTCTGCAAAGCAGTTATGTCGAGACTTTGACTAAAGTTAACTCTGACCAATTCGGACAAAGTATTTATACAGTGATGACTGGAAATCCCTGTGTATCCTGAGGAATTTCATGTGCAAATGAAATAATTTCATCATTTAGTGCTTTTCAAAACCATATAATTTTGCCTGGTTTAAACAAGCTCCAATTCTATGTTGTGCAGTTTTTAATCGGTTTGACAGTAAATCAGTGCTAGTCATCTCAGTACATACTGGTATATTGGCTTCCAGTACAAATAGTCATACTTATCAACTAACTTTACAGTATACGTTGGTTTGTCTTTTTTTGTTTCAGTTACTCAAAAAAGAAAAAGTGGAGAACCAAAACCAGGTCTGGGAAAAATGCAGTGCGTCTCCACCACTAATAAATATCCAGTCTCAGAAATATTTGGTCAATCGTCCTTGTTTTCACTGCATTGCATCAGATAAATGGGGAAAGCACCCCCAGAAAGCAGGCTTGCTCAGCATGGTCTTTACAAGTGGCACTCTCACTGCAAAGGCCAGGTGAGACACTCTCCCGTTCTTTTCTCAACTCCCGTCCACACCACCACCACCACCAGCAGCTGAGGATGAGGATGAAGAAGACTCCCTGTAACCTCAGTCCTGCCTGCGCCTCACCTTTCAGCGTGACTGTCACCAGAAACCTGCCACCACCGCCACTGTACCAATGACATCATCGCCATCCTCTTCGTGATTATCGGTCCAGACACCAGCACCGCTACACCTCTGCAGCCGGTGCACACGAGCACACACACACGCACTGAGCAGAGAATCTCCCGTTTGGGACGACACGGCTCGGGCCGGGGGAGGTGATCCTCCAACCCCCCCCCCCCCCCCCCCAAAGACGTCTCCCAAACATTAGGGCTTCCGCACGGAGCGCGGTCTCTATCTCATTAGAAGCGGATTAAAGCCTGACGGCTAACGGACGCCGCTGTGAAGGTTTCAGTCCGGTGAGCCGGTACGCCGGGTTCCGAGCATGATGGTCTCAGAGCAACACGCTGTACCCACCGTCACAGGACCAACCGAGATGCAGGTGAAGCGTTTCCGGGCTGGCACGCTCGACAGGAATGTTTTATAATAATAATTAAAAAAAAGCAGACTGACAGCGCTGCAGGGACAAATGTAATGGCAAGTTTAAACCACACAAGGGAATCACGCATTTGCCATCATGATACGAATGCACTGAGCACAAAAAAACTAATTAATTTACATTAAGATGGGGGTGTCCCTGCTTCCACGCACAGCCTCTTCCAGAAATCAATAAAAAAGAGATAAAAAAATCGACTCCACACAGCAAAAAATCGGCTCCAACCCCTCCACTCACCTTCATAACACTTCCCGTTAGAGGAATCTGCCGAGTAATGTCAGAGCGACGACCATTGCAAGTGCACGGAAAATCAAACCATTACGTCTTCCCTCTTTACAGCTGCCTGTGTGTATGCGTGTGTGTGTGTGTATGTGTGCGTAGAGTAAGCATAACGTCAGGGCCAGGAGAGCCGCGGCCAATCACAGAGAGCCGCCGGCCGCTGGTATCTTTAGCAGCCAATCGGCCGCAGCGCGCAGCCGCGGTGCGCGTGCAGAGCCGCGCGTAAAGACGCACCGCGCGCGCGCCGCGCCGGTTTTGTTAAGGTGAATTTAGTTCTCCCCCTTTAACCGGGACCAGCTCCAACTGCAGCTGCTGCATACTTTTTTATATTTTCTATTCACAAACGCTCGAGCAAAAATGACGTGCTCCATTTCCAGACTATGTATAGTTGTAATTTGCTCGGAGAGGTTTAAAGAGAGACAAAAATAAAGCTGCCACTGTCGGTTAGTTAAATCGAGCTTATTTAGTCTTGTGTTGGTGTGCGTGTTTATGTCTGTGCTTTGTCACACGAGGCTGCTGCCTGCAGAGAGGAGATTAGCGGGATTTCAGACGTAACACGGGCAGTACCCGGCCAGGGCCCATAGGGGGCAGCAAACAGCTCAGCCACACCGTTATCATCACCATCATCGTCATCATCATCATGCAGACACAACTAAGCCGGAGAGATGTTCAGGAGTTTCTCCCCCTGTGGTCACACAGAGATGACGCATTTATGTTGCTGTTGACCCAAACAGTGGATTCCAGGTAACGGCCCCAAGACAAGCTAATGCATGTTATGATGATGATGGTGTACGGGCAACTGCCTTCCACCCCCAGCGCATCAAACATTGACCACAAGTTGATTTTATACTACCTTAAAAGATTTGTGGAGGCCTCCAGGCCAGCAGTGATACCCCCTGTAGCTGATCCGGCCTCAATAAGTGCATAAACATAAACATGAGTATTATTTTCACAGTGTAAAAATTTCAGATGATTTGTTGCTGCAAACAGAGTGTTATTCTTTTTAAAAAATGAAACCAAAGCAAAGGGAAAGTGAGAGCCAGTAAGGTCACCTTTATTTTTAAGATTTAAAAAACATCAAGGGATGACCCAAAGTCAAAGGAACGTGATCTAAGAATATTAAAAACATTGAAAATAAGGTAATCAGACAGTATTTATCGGTCGATGTGCAATCACTCTTGGATAGCAAAAATATTTTGAAATAATCCTGTATCTTATTGGTAACCAGTGCAGCTGTGCCAGAACTATGCTGATGTCAGATTGAGGCAGATCAAAGTAAGTCTTAGCTACAGCAGTTAAAAGTGGGCTGAGTTTTCCTCAAATATCATCAGGATGATCAGTCTGAGAAAAGAAGTAGACACAGCATGAATCACTGTCTGCATATTCCTTTGAGTTAAAAAACAAGTTTGGCTGAAAAGCCTCTGAACAGAGGCATCTTCAGTAGATACTATCTGCTAAATGAATATGAAAGAGTAAACAAAACTTTCCTTGTGATCCTAGTGATAGCTTCCAGTTAAAGATAGTTTCACGATAATTTCCAGTTAAAGAAATAAGCATTTGCAATAAATTTGAATCTAATTTCTAATGAAAAGTCAGAATACTTCTGTGCCATAGAAAATGTTTGCCAATAAAGTGTTCTATTTCATGTCCCCTTCCACCTACTTCAGTGGCCCACCTCTTTAAGCTCACACAAACTGTTTTAGTTTCACATGTTCCCATAATGTTTTGATAACACAGGCTACTAATCTTCATTATCCTGTCATCATATTTCTTCATTCATGAATCACATTTAGAAAAACTGGATGAGCATAATTAAGTGTTTCTTTCTAAGTTGTGATAAGAAGAGATTGTGGATCAGGACTATTAGTATAGTTTGCTAAAGGAAATACTTAAGGAATTATTAATTCCAGGTCGTAATACTGATTTCTGTGCAAAGGTGACTATTGACTAGCCCTCAAGCCATTTCATCGGAGCAATTTTAATTTTCCCAGTAGACATGCACAAAGGGGAATAGAGATCTGGATTTAAAAAATGTCTAAATCAGCAACACTGTGGACTGTGTGGGAAATTGTGCAGGGTATTCTACCACTTTTTTCAAAAGCATACAGTAAATAAGAAGAAGATGACCAGATAATGGCTTTTAGACTTGAAATAAGCAATGAATCACTTTCAGACGGTGACGCAAAAGTCTGTCAGAGCAACTCAACCAAACAGGTTGAGAGTTCCAGGAAGAGAGTAGGGAACCCCCCCAACCTGCCCAACAGGGGCTATAACTGTGTATAAATGAAAGTAAAAATCCATCCTTCCCCTGAGGCCTGGAGTTGCCCACCTCTGCACTGAGCTGATCTCACAGCTGCCTCAGATTTCTTTGGAAAACCTTTTTGCGCAATTTGATTTTTTTGTCTGCACTTACTCTGTCATTATACACTTAATGCTCAAATCTCTTACATCATGGTGATAATAAACCTGCTCATGTTTACTGGAAGGCTCATTCTCCAGCAGGATATAATGTTTGTTTATGTCTGGCCCCATGTCAAACCAGGACATGTTTGATTTCCTGTATTCTTGGGAATTTCTGTCAACTTTGAAAGTAGACTGTGTATGAGACCCAGATGGAAACTTGAAACTTTGCACAAATAGTACTTGCTGGTGAGAAAAAACACCCTACCTGTCCTCAGGATTGTGAAACATGAACATAGCACAGAGCTCTTCACCCATATGGACGAAGAACTTATCCATAAACAAGAAATTATTTCCCCCCCTTCTAATAGATCAGTTTTCCTTTAAAGAAACAACTGTGTGTGACCACTTCATTTGAATCAACACTTAGGGAACACGAAAAAGAAGCTCTGCTATTGGTTGGTTTAAGCAGATGGAGTGCCACTAGATGGCAGATATGAGCTTTCGAGAAGACTGAGTCTCAGGTTGTGTGCATAATTCCAATTGAATATTCCTTGAGAAGCTTATCTAATTCTGAGAAATGACCCATTTGCAAGAAATTCAAAATAGAAACAGTCATGATGAAAGTTAAAATTGTATCTAGTTTCTTTCAGTTTCTTGTTGTAAATTCTGTCACTACAGTCTTCTTTTCAATTCCAGACTTGATATTTTTAGCATATAAATTAAATACTAACTGCTATATTTTGGTATTTCTAGTGTCCCACCTAAACGTCGTACATACTACAGTGTTAAAGAAATACATAGTTTCTTTCACCAGTTGTTTTTAAGTCACAATACAGTTGCAGAGGGGAAAAATGTTCCACTTTCAGGTTCTTATTTGAACTTCTTTAGCCTATTTATACTTCAACATCAGTAATGTAGTGGTTCCTGGTGGATTTATTTGAAAGCTGTTGTCAATTGCTTTGCAGGTCAGACTACTTATTTCACCGATCTGAATTTAGTGCCGAAAATTCCCTGTCTCACAGCACTGCATAAAAAGGTGCCAACCTTCTTTTTTTCGCTTCCTTTTAAGTACAGATATCTGAGCTGCTAGTCATTTCACAGACTAAGATGGGTTTCACTTCTAAACTTCTAAGAGACTCTCATTTGAATAACTGTTTGAGATGCAAAGAGTGTGATATTTTCATGGAGTAGAAAGGAAGGATCAATGGGGAGCCATTCCTTCAAAAAGCAAAGAAGCACTCGAAAAATGAGTGTTTTAAAGTTGTTTCACATAATTTGGAAGAAATTCTCAGCTCATTCATTTAAAGGGGTAAAAAAGGACACTTTTTGCCATATTTTAGGAAAAAGTCATAAGGTAAAAAAATAAGATTTATTGATGTAAGGATGAATGTGCCAAGAAAGCCTCTGGGTGTCGCTCTAGAGAGGCAGACCTCAGACAGAGCAAACTAATCCACAGCTTTTGTGAGACAGCATTGGTAAAGAGAGTTTTCTCTCTCTTTTTTCTTTTATGGGGTAGGTTTTCCCAGAATGTTTGTACTCTAAATTCTTGCTGGGGTGAAACCACAGGAAGTGAGAAACAGCAGTGCAGATGAATAAAGCCATTCCCTCTGCCTCCTGCTTGACTCCAGTACAGTGTGTGCTAACCTGTAGCCTTTTACTGCACACATCCCAGGGATGATGAAACAAAGTCTGTGACTAATCTTCTGGACTGTTGCTTGAGAAATAATGCACTCAAATTACCCCCAAAACTGCGAGTAAAAACTTGCATCAAACCTTGTCAGATCTTGCGCAAGATCATGGAAGGGAAGCTGGAAGCTTCTTTTGAATGGCTTTAAATGCACATCATGGGCAGCACAAATGAAACGTAACTCACCTCCCAAAATGACTAGATGCCTCATTAGTTTAGCTATAAAGTCCTGTTTCAAAATGTTATGTTGAATTGTTCAAGAAAGCTGCATTTATATGTTACCGCAGACTTTAGTGCAGCCGTTCATGAAGTCTGTTAACAGAAGCAATCCATCACATTTTTAATAACAAAGACAATTTTTGCATCTAGCATGGTTCATATCCTTAAAACCAAATCAGACATGATAAGAAAATTAGGTCTCTTGCTAAGTAAATTTCGTTAATCTCTCCCATGTAAATCAAATTTAGCCAAGAATGATCTATAACACGCAATTGGGTGCTTAAAATAGCATTTAAATGGGTGATTCCTGATGTGAGGAAATCCTTTTTGTATATAATTTAAATATTTTTTGCTCCCTTAAAAACCCTTAAAAATCAGACAGAGATTCTCCTGAACTTAACTAAATATAATCTGTTACTGATACACTGTGTCTGCACAACAGTTTACAGCTGTGGAGCACTTAAATGTCTGCGGTGTGTTTTGATGTCAAGAAGAGCATCCTCTGTTATCTGAACCTCCAGTTTTCTCTCATGGGATGGATGGGGGCTGCCGATGGATGGCCTACGGCTCTGCCCCTACAAACACGAAAATGCCTCGCTTGCAGAGCTCCTACAAGTCAGCAGGATGTTGACATTACTCTCCGTTTGACAGGGCC